GACTCATGCATGTGTAGAATCTATAAACAGTTTATGAGAACTGATCTTATGACACATGATGAAATGAACAGATACTTTGAAGAAAAAGAGACACTAAAATACCCAGTGCTGACCCTGAAGTGTCATAATGTGAAACACAGCAACAGTATTATTATTCTTTCTTCAGAAGGGATATTAGCCTGCTTGGGTTTATTCAATGTCAACATAATTGAAGATATGGATAACTGCACATTTGTTTAAGTGTATAGGATTGATAACCATATTTCTAAGTTTTTGTTGGACAGTTGAACAGAACTGGTTGCAATTTCACTGTCTGAATCCCCACTTTATAACTCCACTTTAGTATCTTGAATAACTATTTGTAAGAAGACAATCTGTAACCATCAACTAGTGATTTCTTACTGTTTATTTTTTCTTTGAAATTATGTACTATTTCTATCCATTTTCTGTTTGTTTAGTCTTTCTTTAAATTAAAATTTAAAAAAAAGGCACTACAGTACCCATTGCTGATCACAGAGTGTCATGATGTGAAATCCAGCAATACTATTATTCTTTGTTCAGAATGATTTTAACCTGTTTTAGTTTGTTTAATCTAAACATAAATGAAGATATGGATAACTGCATGTATGTTTAAGTGTATAGGATTGAGAACCATGTTACTAAGTTTTTGTTGGACAGTTGAACAGAGCTGTTTGCAGTTTCGCTGTTTGAATTCCCACTTTACATATTCCACTCTTGTACCTTGAACAACTATTTGTAAAATGACAATATGTAAACATCAACTTGTGATTTTTTTTTGTCTTTTTCCTTTTTATCGGTACCAGGGATCGAACTCACAACTGCCTGCTTTCAAGGCAGGTGCTTATACCACTGAGCTAAACCCCCAGCCCCAACTTGTGATTTCTTACTGTTTATTTTTTTCTCTGAATATATGTATTATTTCTACCTATTTTCTGTTTTGCTTAGCCTTTCTTTAAATAAAACTTAAAAAAAGAAATAGAAGTTAAAGTAATATTATTTGCAAATTAGATAATACTCTACATAGAAGACTTCTAGTTTTAATAAACAAATTAGGTAACATAGCTGATACAAGGTCAACGTGCAAAATTCAATAGCCTTCCTTTACACAAATAACAAACTCAGAGAGAGAAATTAGAGAAACAACACCTTTCACAATACCATCCAAAAAAAATGAAATACCTAGGAATCAATATAAGAGCAGAAGTAAAAGACTGTTATATTGAAAACTTCTGTACTCTAAAAAAGCAGATTCAAGAGGATATCTGAAAATAGAAAGGGTGGGCATGGTGGCTCAGTCTGTAATCCCAGCACTCGGGAGGCCGAAGCAAGAGGATTGGGTTGCAAGTTCGAGACCAGCCTGGGCTACAAAGTGATCTCAAAGCCTGCCCGAACTGCATAGAGACCCTGTTTCAAAAAAAAAAAAAAAAAAAACACAGAAAAAAGAAAAAGGAAAGATATCCCTCATTCTTGGGTGGGAAGAACCAATACAAAACTACTATAACAAAAACAGCATGGTACTGGCAATAAAAAAGAATTGAGGATCAATGTAACAGACTCTAGAGGCAGAAACAATGTCAAAAATTCTCATCCACCTTATCTTTGACAAAGGAACAAAATCCCTTTCCTGGAAGAAAGCCTCTTTAATAAATGGAGCTGTGGAAGTTGACTTTCCTCATGCCAAAGATTAAAATTAGACCCATACTTTACACCATGTACTAAATTAAAACTGAAATGGATCAAAGTTCTAAATATTAAAACAGAAACACTAAATCTTCTGGAAGATAAAACAGGTGGAACACTTGAAGACACTGGTATAGGCAAAGACTTCATGGATAAAGTCCTGATCTCTTAGGAAGTGTCACAAAGAAAAACGGATCTCACCATACTGAAAAGCGTTTCCACAGCAAGAGAAACCACCAACAGAGAGAAAAGACAACTCACATTGTGGGGAAAAATCTTTGCAGTTGTTCTTTACAGCACTACTACCTAGGATATGTAAAGAACTAAAAAATAATCAGATCCCTCAGATTAAAGATCTAATCCAAAAATGGAGATCTGAGATGAATACACACTTCTCAGATGAAGAAAAACAAATGGCAAATAAAGATATGAAAAAATAGGGCTGGGGATTTAGCTCAGTGGTGTTAGCACCTGCCTGGCAAGTGCATGGTTGCGAGTTTGATCCCCAGTACCAAAAAAAAAAAAAAAGTTTAACATCACTGGTCATTCAAGAGATGCAAATTACAAAACACTGAGATTCTACCTCACCCCAGAAAGAATAGCTATTATCAAGAAATCAAGCAATAACAAATGCTGGAGGGGCTGGAGAGAAAAAGGAACCCTTCTCCACTGTTGGTGGGAGTGTAGACTGGTACAGCCACTGTGAAAATCAGTGTGAAGATTCCTCAAAGAATGGACTAGAGATTCCATTTGACCCAGCTGTTCCTCTTCTGGGTATATCCCAAAAGAATTAAAAGCATCATATCACAGCAATATATGCAGTCCCATGTTTGTAGCAGCAAAGTTACTAACAGCTAACTCTTGGAGCAGTCCAAGTGCCTATCAGCTGATGAATGGATAAAGATGTGGTTTTTTAATAAAATGGAATACTACTCTGCCATAAAAAGGATAAGCTTGAGACAGATGTTCTAGCTATGTACCTTGAGACCATACTCTTAAGGGAAATAACTCACACACACATTAAATACCATATTTAAATACCACATTGTTTCTCTGGTGTAAAAACTGAAAGTATAAATAAGGGCCACAACGTGTAACAGATATTGGGAAATAGGAAGAAAATATTCAACTGAGAAGGGGAAAAAGGGAGTGAGGAGGAGAAAAGTAAAGAAGGGACCAAAAAAGAATAGAAGAAAACAGTGGAAACAAAGGCTTTGTAAATAAGGAGGAGAGGGGTGGAAGGGAGGGGAGGAGAACGGGGGAAAAAGGAAGCCAGTTATGTCAGGTACACGTGTCAATCCCCTGGATGAATGTGATCATTATGTAATCTTGTAAACACCATCCTGTAGGCTCTCCTTGAAAGAAGAGCAACCATCTCCACTGTGGCTAAACCTGGCCTTTCCTGCATGTATTCATATGTACGCAGCTGGCTAGCCATGTTCTTTTCCCTTCAATGGCTTTTCCCAATGTAAGTTGGGCTGAAGGTGACAGCTGTGGTTTCCCCGCCCAGTGACTCCCAAAAAAGCATGGTTGAGCTGGGCAGGATGGAGAGCCAGGCTCCACGCTGTCAGCTGGGACCGAGCGGCGAGAAAGGGCTGACTTCCCCGGGCAGAAAGTACTGTGTGTCAGAGCTGAAGTACCACCCCAGAATACTGGATACTACCTCAGTTATGCAGTGTGGCGGACTGATACCCTGGTCAATTTTAACACCAGCTGAATGGAGTCAGTGTGGTGCTGAGTGCGGATGGCCCACCTGAGCACAGTTGTCTGCAAGGAGACCTGAGAGGAGGGGTGCTGTGACCTTGTTTGGTGCTGCTAGTTCTCCTATTGCCCTTGGTTCTCCCGGAAAAGCTGTCAAGCTTCTTTCCTGATATGAACTTGGCTGTTCTCATCATCTGAGGAGCTCGAGACCTTGCTGCTGACAGTGACTGTGGTTCACTTTGTGGTTCTGTCCTTACTCTGAGCATCGCTTCCTGGCTCCTGTGTAGATCCTTTAGCCTGCTGGCACTTACCCTTCACCCCGCTGGCACAGACTTTCCAGCTTCCACCACTGACCTTGGGGTTTTTATGCGGATCCATGAAACAGACTTGCATGAGACGTTGTCTTGGGCTCTAGATTTTCAGCTGGACTCTTTCAGGGCATTACTGTGGGATTCTCTAGGTCTTCAGTGTGTGGACAAATTTGTTGCACTTTCTTTGTATCTGACTCCTTGAGTGACCACTATAAATAATACTGTAATCCTGTGTCCTGTACTGTCTTGTTCTCCTTGCACCCCTGACTACATGCAGATTTCTCTCTCTGCATTTCTCACTCTCTGCATATGGCACAGGTGATTCCAGGCCTCCTACCTGCCCAGCTCAGGCAGTCACATATTCCCCCACTCATTCCCAAGCCACGCCCTTAATGGAAAATTAAAGCCCGAGCTGGGCTCTGGGTGTGACCCTTTGGTCTGGTGAACCCCATCTTGGCTGGACGCAGGACTCCTTGGCTCCCCCTAGCTGTACTTAATGTCTGTGTCTTAGAGTCTTTCTTCTCGCTGTGGGTTGCACTAAGTGATAGACTGGAATTAATTTTCTAGAATTCCAATAACTCCTTCATGGGATCACAAAATTAAACCTTCCTGGACCATGACAAAGATGGCAAAGGGATCTCTACACAAACTTAAAAGGCACCAAAAAAAAAAAAAAAAGTAAAAAGTTTTTTCAGTGTGCCTGCGCTTCCATGGCCACCTGTCACACATGGTCACAAGTGGGTGCCTGTGCTGGGGTCAGGGAGCTGCAGGTCCAGGCCCTAGTGTGTCTGAGCAGGGCACTTGGCCTGCAACAGGGATGCCCAGAGGCACAGCAACCGCGTGTGGAGGGCGAGGTGGGAGCGCTCAGGCCAAGCCTCCCGGTCCCTGTCTGATCTGCTCAGCCTCAGCTGCCCCCAGCTTCACCGTGCCACACGTAGCCATTCCTGCGGGCCTTGCTTCAACCTGTCTGCCAAGGCAACACCATGATGACGGCTGTGGTGTCCTCTCAGCTGTGGGAGTCAGGGAGGCTGGAGACCGAGCTGGAGCCAGGTGTGGTGGCGCACGCCTGAAATCCCAGCACTCAGGAGGCTGAGGCAGGAGGGTCACAGGTGTGAGCCCAGACAGGCAATTAGTGACTTAGCAAGACCCCAATTCATAAGAAAAATAAAAGAGGGCTGGGATGTAGCTCCGTTGCAGAAGCCCTGGATCTAGTCTGCAGACGGAGAGCTCCTGTGCAGAATCCAGGCCAAGGCCTGGGTCGGCTGGCTGCTGCCGCAGCGCCCTTACCTTCTGCAGGGTCTGCTACCCGAGTCCCTGGCTCTGGCCCTGCTGTCTGCCCCGCGGGCTTTCTGCTCTTCTCCGCCTCGGCTTTCTTCTTCCTCTTGGTCTTGTCAGTCAACTCTTTCTCCTAAAGGCAGGAAATACGAGAAAGGTTACTGCGCATCCAGGAAGCGGGAGATGCCCGGCGGCGAGCAAGCTGACAGCGCGGTGGGGACTCAATGTGGGTTCCAGGGCAGGCAGAATGGCGAGGCTGGAAGGGAAAGGTGAAGGAAGCAGACCCGCTTTGGGACTGGGCCTCCTCCTCTGGCCCTGGAGCTCGAACGCTGGGCTTCCTCACCGAGCGCCACCTGCTTATGTTATTCTCAGACCAGGCTTCGCTGAGCTGCCCAGGCTGGGTGTGAGGCGCTGGCCCTCCTCCCTCAGCCTCCCGGAGGCCTGGGATCAGGGTGCGCACCCCCAGCCTGGCTCTGCGCCTTTCTGCACGCCGGGGGTTCTATTTCGGAGCTGGGCCGGCTCAGGGCCTGTTAGTCTTCCGGTGCTCCCGCAGGACACCTCGCTAGGGTGCCTGGGCCTGTACAGGGTCTCCTGAGGTGGGTCGCAGGGGCTGCGACAGCGGCCTGCAGGAAGTAGCAGGGCTCGACCTGCGGCTGCGCTGCGCGCAGGGCCTGGCTGGGAAACCCCGGACCCACGACTGCGTCTTTGCCCCCAGCCTAGGGCCGCACTCACGGCAGGGGCGCCGGCTGGCGAGCGCCGGGCGCGCTGTTTCCGTTCAGTTGGCCCCGGTTCTGCGCGCGGTGAGAGGGGTGCGGGGGGCTCCGGAGCGGGTCCGGGGAGTCCGCTGTGCAGCCGGGGAGCCCCGGCACCTCCACCCCTGCGGGAGAGCGAGCACGGGCCTGGTGAGGAGGGAGGCCGGGGGAGGGCGCGAGGTCGGCCTCACCCTCTCCGTGCGCTTGGGACACGGGACACAGATCTGTATGCGTGAGTGGCTCCATCCAGGGCGACGCTGGGGGAAGTAGGGTTGGTTTTTTGAGACAGGGTCTCGCTATGCAGTTCAGGCTGGCCTTGAGCTCACTTTGTAGCCCAGGCTGGCCTCCAACTGGCCGAGAGCCTCCTGCCTCAGCCTGCCGAGGGCTGGGATTTGAGTTTTGTTCTTGACCACGTGGTCCCGACTGTACCCGCGGGTGAAGAGGGATCAGATGGTTGCGGCCGCGGCCTGGTGCTGACTCTCAGGCTAAACCGGAGTATTCACCACGCCGGACTGGCAGGCATAGGGCCTCCCTGTGGAAACCTGAGACATGCTTGTGGAGTGAGGTAAATGGAATTTCCTGTAAATATACAAGTCTCTGAATCATTCACTGTCACTTTATAAAAACCATAGAAGTCTCCTTCAGAATTTAGTGCTAGAAAAACCATTATTTCCCCTAAGGATCGGGTAGCCTGCAAGTGAGCGTTAGCTTGATTGCATGCTTTTTATTTTCTTCTTTCACAGCTAAGAAGCTCTGCACCGAATCTGAAACTTTGTGAGCAAAGTGGTCATTGTGGGGTTTTATGTCCTTGTATTCATTTATTTTTTGAGAGGGTTTTGCTATGTAGTCCAGGCTGGTCTCAAACTGGCAGCGAGCCTCCTGCTTCAGCTTCCCGAGTGCTGGGATTACAGTTGTGCACCGTGAGCCTGGCTTTAATTTATGTCTTTATTGTGCTCCTGATTACAAAATTCTTTTTACTTCATCTCCCTGGTGGGTTGTTGCTTGAATACCGTGTGAGAAAAACTGTCAAAGTTTAGAAATGAGCAGGGTGTGGTGATTCGCACCTGTAATCCCAGCACTTGGGAGGGTCACACAAGAGGGTTGAGTTTTAGGCCAGATTGGGGAATTTAATGAGCCCCTGTCCCAAAATAAAAAAGGGCTGGAGATTAGCACAGTGCAGTGGTCCTAGACTCAATCTCCAGTACCACAAACTGAAAACACAGCAAAACATAAAACTGTCCTTAAGCTGGGCATGGTGGCACATATTTGATAATTCCAGCATTTAGGCTGAGGCAGGAGAAGCACCAGGAGGAGTTCAAGGCAGCCTGGACTACAAAGTGAGACTCCATCTCAAAAAGTGGGATGGGGGCTATAGTTTAGCTGTGGGGTTCCAGAGTTCTGTTTCCAGTATGTGGGGGAAAAAAGATGACAACTGGGATTCCTTGGGGAGTTGCCTCAGTCCTGTGAGCACCCAGTGACTTCTGTCCTGCGGAGCATGGCACCCTCTAACCCCACACCCCTGGGCCATGAGGGCAGGTTGTCATCCCTGAGGTCTCCAGAGGTCCAGGCAGCCAGAGGAGGGCAGAGACAGGTGCCCAGCTGCGGCCAGACTGGGGGGACTTCGGCCTGGAGCCCAGCGTTGCTGACCGAGGAGCTAGGCCACATGAGCACCACTGCAGATCCCAGCTACTGGGACCAAATGAAAAGCTGGGGCCATTGTTGACCTGCACCTTTGCTGTCCTGCCAAGCTCAGGCCTGGTTAGCCCCGTGGGCCATGTACTCCCGGCTCAGGTGTCTTAGAGAAAAACTAAATAACCAATAAGAGAAAATATAATGACCGTAGAGAAGTCCCTGCTGTTCCAGCTTTGAGCACTTACGTGTTTTCCATGGTGCCAGTCTTGAGGGTCTGTATGTGCCCAGCCAGGGCAGCGCTGGTGTGTGTGTGTGGCACACAGCCTGGCTCTGGCTCTGTGGAACAGCAGAGGGTACATGGGTCACCTTGGGATTGGACGAGAGCAGCGTGCATCCGGGCAGTGGGCGCTGGGACGTTGGTGTCTGGGTGTGCAAAGTGAGGTGTAGGTACCTGGGAAAGCAGCACCCGCTGCAGGGGCCATGCCAGCTCTTGGCCAGGGATATGAACGTCAGCACTAAAATATCCCGGGAAGGCGGCAGCATAGGGATCAGGTCGCGGCCGGACCGAGAAAACCACTGTGCCTGGGTGTGCACCTTTAAGGCTGGCCCTGCAGGAGGCCCGGGAAAGGGATTAAGGGGTGGGTGTGGGAGGGCAGCTTAGTGACCCAGGACTCTGCTCCCAAACAAGAAGGAAGCCAGGCACTGCCCCAAACCAAACTGAACCAAACCATCCCACCCCCAAATCCAGGAAAATATTCCAGCCTTGGATCAGGAATCTTAGTCTTGGGTATTTATCACATGAAAATAATTCACAAGAAAGAAGCCTTGTAACAATTTATTAATTACATTTCTGTTAATAACAGAAAATTAGAGGCAACCAAAGAAGACTTGGGAAGTAACTTATACATCACTCTGACATTTAAAATTATGGTTGAAAAGATAATCATTATGGAAAGTATTGATATAATGACAAGTTAAAAATGTAGACATAGAATAGTGAGAACTCCGTACGATGGGGTGGATAAGGGTTGAAAGAGAAATCCATAAAAGGAAATAATGGGCTGGGGGAGTTTTTTTTTCTTTTAAATCTCAGTTGTTATGGTAGTGAGAAGCAGATTGATTTCAGAAAGTATCAGGCTTGGAGGAAGTCACCTGCCACCACGCCACCGGCCCTTGAGTCCTACGGTCAGTCAGTCCACTGGCCTTCTGGTCCCGCAGTTGGTCTTTCACGGTGCTCAGCTGACCATGGTCCTCACCCTACCTGCTTGGCTCCTTGGGGTCCCTTCCACCATTCCCGGAGACCCCATCTCATACACCAAGCTGCAGATCTGGCAGAGGCCAAGATCTTTATGAACTGGTTGAGGAAACTGGAAAGGCTGATAAGGGGTGGTATCTGAGATTTCATTTTTCTTGTGTTTTTAAAATTTCATTGGTACATTTTAGATATAATGATCACATTCATCATAGGGAGTTTGCACCTGTCCGTGATGTAACCTGCTGCTTCTGTTTTTCCCATCCCCTTCTCTTATTTACAAAAGCTTTGCTTCTGTTTTTCCCTTTTATTCCTTTTTTTCTTGTCCCTTCTTTCCTTTCCCCTCCCTTGTTCCTCTTCTCATTTGGACATTTTCTTCCCATTTCCCAATATCTATTATACATTTTGGCCCTGATTTACACTTTTGGTTTCTCACACCAGGGAAAATCATTTGATATTTGAACATGTGTGTCTGATTTATTTCACTTAAGAGTATGTTCTCAAGTTGCACCCATTTAGCCAGAAATGTCTCAGATTTATCCTTCTTAATACAGAGTAGTAAGTACTCCATTATATAAAAAAACCCCATCTTCTTTATCCATTCATTAGTTAATGGGCATTTAGGTTGTTTCAGATTGTGCTTTTATAATCATGGGTACACATACATTTCTGTGGTGTGATGTTTTTAGTTCTTTTGGGAAGATACCTAGAATGGGAATAACTGGGGCAAGTGGAACCTCTAGTCCTAGTTTTTTGAGGAACTTCCACAGTGGTTGCACCAGTCTATACTCCCACCAACAGTGGAGAAGGGTTCCTTTTTCCCTATAGGCCGTCCACCATTTGTTATTGCTTGATTTCTTGGTAATAGCAATTCTTTCTGGGGTGAGATGGAATCTCAGTATTGTTTTAATTTGCATTTCTCAAATGACCAGTGATGTTGAACATTTATCATATATTTATTTTTCATTTCTATTTCTTCATCTGAGAAGCGTTCATTCACCTCAGATGCCCATTTTTGGACTGGGTCTTTACATTTGAGAGATCTGATTTTTTGAGGCCTTTGTATATTCTAGGTAGCAGTCCTTTGTCTGAGGAACAGCTGGCCAAAGTTTTTCCCATACTGTGGGTTGTGAGACTTCATATTGTGACCTCATATGAAATACTAACAACAGACAGTGGCTGAGTAAAATATCTTCATGACGACAAATCCTGTGAGAGCGTCTTTTTTATATTAATATTTAAATACAAGCCATGTATAAAGAAATGGGATTTTTGTTGGTAGTGAGAGAAAACCCATGTGCTGGAGGAGCCGAGTCAATGCTCACGTGCTCATGGAGGCGCCACCAACGAGGACTCAGTCTTGGGTCAGGGCTGGAGATGCTGCCAGTGCTGGTCACGGGGCCTCTTAAGGCTGGAGACGGAGCAGAGGCCCTGGACTGTGCAGAAAAGGCCTGGGGAGATGTCTCAGGTGTGAGCTGCAGACCACCCCCTGCGCCTGAGCAAATCCATCACCTTATTGGGGAGGAACAGCTGTGATACATGGAGAATTCAAGGAGCTGAAATTAACTGGTTATCGTGGAAAATACTTGGTTTTTTTTTTCTATCCACTTGATTTCACATTTGTGTGTCCAACTGAAATGATGACTTATGGTGACAGAACTGAAGAACTCAGATCTATAGAAACCAAGGTGGTGCTGTGTTCTGGCAATCCACAGTCTGCCTGTCTGACCCGGTTTGATGCTTCGGAGACTAGGAGGACTGGGGCCCATAATGATCCCGCTGTGTCAGACCTGGGCCATTGGATCCCAGAGAACTGGATGTGTATCCAGAGGCCGCAGACCACACCCTGAAAGCCTTGTGTTTACTGATGACAGAGGACTCCTGAGACCCAGGACTCAGCCTGACTTCCTGTGAGCACATGTGGATGAGTCCTCGTGCTGGGCTCCAGCATCTCAGGGCCAGGGCCACAGCACTAACTTGGTGCAGTGCACAGACAAAACCAAAGATGTTCCGACAGCCTGGTGGCCAAAGAAGCACTGCCAGATCCAGCTGGAAAACTGAAGTATTTTAACAAACAAACCTGAAAATACTTCATCAAGTTAGAAGGCTTCAGGGTTCTCAAAGAAGTCACTTTCATGGCCAAAGAGGGGAAAAAAACCAAAACCAAAAACAACAAAAAAATTAAAGGGTAGGTGTTCAGCACACAGATAAGCAATGCACTTTTACAGTCTCTGAGTACCAGAATTCCTGCAGGTTCAGCCCGAGGTGTTCTGTAGTTACAAGTTCTGGTTGTGAGGCTTCTTAATTTAACTGGCTGGCTCTGAAAAAGTCACGAAGGAGTTACTCACGATTGCCAACTGCATGCAGGGCCGGAAGGGATCGGCAGAGGGCGCATGTGCATTGCTCAGAAGTCGAGGACTTATGTGGTTGCCTTTCACTGAGACGTCAGTCAGTGGCTGTGAATCAGAGAAGGGTGAACTCTTTCCCTTAGTAAAATAATCCTATATTTAGGAAGTACTGGGACAAACGAAGGTAGAACCTGGAATAATAACTTACGGCCTTCAGCTGCTTTTAGAAAAGTCTGTAAAGCACCTTAAATGTGCACAGTACAGGAAGAAAATTACCGTGAGGGACATGGCCTGCAGCATTGTGCAGCTTTGTGGTTTTTTCTCCTTTTTTGTGTGTGTGTTTTTCGAGACAGGGTCTCGCTATGTAGGTCAGCCTGGCCTTGAGTTCCCTTTGCAGCCCTGGCTGGCCTCGAACTTGCAGTGATTCTCCTGCCACAGCCTTCCGAGTGCTGGGGTTACAGGTGTGTGCCACCATGCCCGGATCAGTGTTGTGAAGTTTCAACATCTTGCCGCGTTGGATTCGCGTTTCTTCCCTTTAGAAGTGAACTGGGAGACACACGCGAGACTGCCCAGTCCCGTGCTGCGGGTGGGCGTCCCGAGCCCTCCAGAGCCTGGCGCTGGGAGCTGGACCTGCGGTGCGGGAAGAGGCGGGGAGGCCCTAGGTGGGGCTGGTTCTGTGGGACTGTGGACTGCAATGCTGTTGCCCCGCCAGCTCTAAGCACTCGGGGCTTCGCAGGACGCGCCCCCCACACGAGAGCTTCCCCGGGAGATGGTGGACGGGCTTGTGCGCCGTGCTTGTAGCCGCCTCCGTCTACGTGAGAGCCGCGGCGCCCCCGCCCTCCGCGCTGGCCGAGCTGAAATCTGCTGGCCTCTGCCTCTCAGAAATCCTTTGCCAAGCATAGAAATACAGCCCTTCGTCCCCCACATCTGAAGGCGTCCACGCGTTCTGTTGCTGGCCACAACGCTGTAATGCCTGCTGCTCTGGTCTCCCACAGTCAGAGCTTAGCGGAGGAAGGAGGGGCCGAAGGACAGGGCCCCGGCCCAGAGAGCCGGGGAGCCTCAGTCTTCACCCAGGCCTCTCCGCCATCCCTGTTAACAGACTGACGCCTGACCGGGCTTGAGCTCTACATTGGAGAGGCACTCCTCTAACCACCGTCCACATTGAAAACGCCTCTGTGGCCAGCATCGCATCAGGTGAGTGGCACCAATGACCCCACTGCAGGCGTGAGGAAAGAGAGGCCCGGGGAAAGTTCAGTAGCTCCCTCCAGACCATGCAGCCAGGACTGGGGCTCCGGAAGGGAGACTCCAAAATCGGTGCTCCTGACCAGGGTGGTGCGTTCTCACAGTGCCTGCTGGGCACTTCCTTCCTCCTACACCTACTGCTGCTGTTGTTATTATTATTGCCTTTTTAAGACAAGATCTCACTGCGTGGTTCAGGCTGACCTTGAACTCACTTTGTAGCCCAGGCTGGTCTCGAATTTGTAACCATCTTCCTGCCTCAGCCTCCTAAGTGCTGGGATATCAGGCATGCAAGCCACCAGACCCAGCACCCCTATTATTTTCTTAAAAACAGATTAAAGAGGTGCCATCACATTTAGGGAAATGTACTAGATGAGGCCCATGCCACAGTTGGAAAGTGTGGTCCCGGGGGCAGCAGTAAGGAAATTGCCCTGGAATCTGCTAAAAGTGCTGTTGTCCAGCCTCTGCCCGCTTCAGACAGTCAGAAATTCGCGAGCAGAGCCCAGGGTGCTTTTTCTTTCCAGGTGAGTCTGATAGACACTGAAGATGAGAACTACTGGTGTAGGAGATAAAGCAGTCGTATCCTCTGGTGGGGGTTTGTCTGGCTGGCTGGGAGGGGCGGCTTTACTTTGGCTGTGAAGACGCCCATGGCAGGTTCCCAGCCTCTTGGCTTTCCTGCTGGAGGCGGCATTGGCCTGCTGCCTACAATTAACCACGGAGATCACTTAATTTAGAGGAGGAAAATGCTGACAATTAACTTTAAGACTCCTGTGGATTAAACATGGGTGGTCAACTTAACACCAGCTGAACTGAACCAGTGTGGTAGTGCTGGGTGTAGATGGCCCACCTGAGGAGCGTTGCCAGCATAAAGGGAGACATGGAGAGGAAGAAGAGCGTTGTGGGTTCTCCTAAATGGTTGTTTGGAGCCGTTGGTTTTCCTGGAGGAGCTTGTCATGCTGGCTCCTCTGATATGAACTTGGCTGTTCCCATTGTTGGAGGAGCTTGAAGCCTCATTGTCACTGAGGGTGGCTGAGGTACTTTCCAGGGGAGCCCTGGTCCTTATTCTGAGTGTCGCTTTCTGGCCCCAGTGTAGCACCCTTAACCTACTGACACAGACCTTTCACCCTGCTGGCACAGATTTTATAACTTCCACCACTGATCTTTGGGTCTTCCCAGTGCAGGTCTGTGAAACAGACTTGCATGGGTCATTGTGATGGGCTTTAGGCCTCCAGTTGGACTTGTGGGAGGTATTGTCATGGGCTCTAGGTTTTCAGCTGGACTCATGCAAGACATTGCTGTGGGATCCAGACCCTTGGCTGGATTTTCTAGGTCTTTCTTTGGTGTTGTGAACAGATTTCCTGCACTTTCTTGTATTTAACTCTGGGTGACCATCATAAAATAATAATATAAATTCCATATCCTATATGTAATTGTTCTCCTTGGGACCCCTGACTACAACAGCTCTTGGGGGAGGGGTGGGGCCAGCATTGGTCCTTAGATAACTGAAAAATCTCCTTGGTGTTCCCTTCTTTTTTCTTTCAAAGACCTGAAATCCCTTTTAAACATTAGCATTTGTCATTCAGGACAGGCAAATGCCTTCCTTAGCTTTCTGCAGCAACAATTCACTCATTAGAGACCAGTGAGAGACCGTTTAGAGCCAGCTGGAGCCTGCCCTGCTCCGTGAGACAGGAAATCTGTTTTCACCCACTTGGCTGTTGCTGAGTTTTGGCCGCGTTTTTGCTGTGTGACACCTGTGCAGCACTTGGCTGAGACCCTGGCGATGTGCATGCTCTGCATGTGTGATTGATGACAGGGAAGATCTGAGGCCAGTGTCACTCGGCCCTGGAAGCAAAGGTGACAGCAGCCTCGAGTTAAGAGGAGCACTGCTTTGAGCTGGTCCAAACAGAGAGACCAAGCTGCCGCCATTTACTACTATCCAGGGTCCAGAAACCATGAGAGGCTTTACAGTGAGCATGAAATTATTATTTCCCATTACCATGTCAATGGACAGAAGTGGTGAGAGAAAGATCTAGTGTAGGACAAAATCCACAGTTTCATTCTTATTTGTATGTTTGCAGGGCATGATGATTACATCAATCATGGCCATAGGCACATGGACCTGAGGCCCCCTTGTGGTCCCTCCACCCCCACCTGACCCTCCCTCCATCTCTTGGTTTTCTTCATTTGCAAAAGAGCTAACTCCTTGTTTCTATTATTTATCTTTATGTTGCTCTCTATTTATACTTTGAGCTTCTCATATCAGAGAAGCCATGCAGTATTTAAGCTTGTGTCTGATTTTACTCAACATTTTAGTCATAAGGTATATCCATTTCTCTACAAATAGGGGCTGAGGATTTCTTCTTTGACCTGCTTTTTTTTTGTCTTTTTGAGACAGGGTCTCGCTATGCAGTTCAGGCTGGCCTTGAGCTCTCTTTTAGCCCAGGGTGGTCTCAAACTTGCAATGATTCTCCTGCCTCAGCCTCCTGAGTGCCTGAGTGCTGGGATTACAGGCATGAGCCACCATGCCCGGCTGACCTGCTGATTGTTAAAGAATGTATTGTGTAATTGCCATGTCTTTGGATAATTTCTGCGGTTTCTTCTGTGATTGATTTCCAGTTTTTATTGCACTATGATTTGATAATGTGCATACGAGAATGTCAGTTCTTTTATACTTACTTAATCATGTTTTGTAGGCCAGTACATGGTCTGTTTTAGAGAAAGTTCCATATTCTGTTAAGAAAAAAGTGTGCTCTGTTGGTGGGTGGAATGTTCCACAAAGATCTGTTACATCATTTTGTCTAGTGAATCTATTTGTGATAGTGGGGTCTGAGGGCCTTCATTTGTAGATGTATTCATATGTAGATGTGTTCACAGGTGGAGCTTTCTGTGGGAGTTGGATGTAGGGTGTATGAATATGGGTTAAGGAATGTGATAACTGAGCTGACTTAGGTGGCACCCATTAATAGGATTGCATCCTGGATAGACGATGGAGAAGCAGGCCTCCTGCTTGCTGCTGCAGCCTCCTGCCTGCTCTGCCATGACTGTTTCTCCTTGGTGATGCCCTTTTGCCATGCCACCCTGCCTTGGGACCAGCCGACTATGAAACCTCTACAAACTATGAGCCAACATAAATCTCAGTATGGGGCATTTTGTCACAGCAAGAAAAGTAACTGAGATACCCACTTCTCCCCCCACTTCTTCCTCCTTCCCTCCCCTCCCCACCCTTTTCATTTTTGCCAGATTGTGGTTTTCCAAGGGCCCTGACTCCAGGCCCTGAGAGCCTGTCTTTTGTTGCCAGTGTTTCCTCCTCCATTTTTAATTTTCCAAATCTGTGAGTTTGCACTTTTGTTTCCGCTGTGCTCTTACAGTCTCCTTCACCCCAGAGGCTCAGGCGGAGGCAGGAGGTGTCCCAGCATCCGTTCCCAGCCTGGTAAACTGGGGCTCCGAGGGTGGGTGGTCGGGTATCGTGATATCCACGTTGCGGTTCCTGTTCAATGAAGGACTGAGTTGCATGGGTTACTTCGTTTGCTCCTGGAACCTCGTGAGGGGAGGGTCTTGCAGCCCCAGAGAACAGAGGCGGAGACTAAGGCTGCAGGCCTGGGTGCAGAGACGGCGGCTCCCGAGCACCCTCTGCTGGACGCCTAGGATGCGACGCGCCCGCTCTAGACTACTCGGTCTCTTGTCAGAAGTGCCCAGAGCAGCAGTTGCTGCTCTGCTGCCCATGGGTCTTAGGGGTTCGCTCAGGCCGGGTCCCGTCCTCGGCCCCAGAGCCCTGCGGTTTTTGTTCGTAGAGCCGTTGAGGTTCCAGCACCATCAAGCCGCACTCGCCGGCTGCCGGTGACGCGCGGGTCCATGCGCCTAGGTGCGGGCCCCCACCAGGCACCTCGCCTGCGTGTCTGATCCCACTGTGCAGACAGATGGACCAGGGAAGCCAGGGCACCGGGGGAGCCTTTCCATAGCCCCTGAAGTGTCCACCCGCTCACCTCAAAATATAGCCTGTGTCAGGAGGAACCTTCCAGTCATCCAAGGGCGTGGGCGTACTGGGAGGCACGAGGCTCGCAGGGTCTGAACTCAGCCCTGCTGGGGCTGTGCTCCAACTCCCGGGCCCACAGCTGAGGAGGGACAGAAGGGCGGTCCCCGTGGATATCTGTGTGTGTGTGTGTGTGTGTGCACAGGGTCTCACTGTCCTCAGCTGTCGAGGCTGGCCTTGAACTCAGCGTGTAGACCACGCTGCCCTCAGACTCAAGTGAGCCTCCTGCCTCAGCTTGCCGATTGCTGGGCTCACAGGCAGGTGCCACCACGCCGGACTCCCCAGAGAACATCTTTGTCCATCTGACAATTACAGTGACAAGATTAGGGGACCAGGCCTGCAGTCCCTACCTTGGCTGCCATCTCTGTCGTTTTCCCCAGGAGCTTCTTCCTGATCTTCATGAGAGTCCTGGTCCTCTCCGCTTTCCTGTTGGGTTAACACAGCACAAAGAGCATGTCAGACAAACACAGGTGCCAATAGCTCTGCAGCCCATGCTGTTTGGCACAAGGCAGTTCCCGTTTCTTAAGAAGTTGTTTCTTTTCTTTCTGCAGTGCTAGCATGGAATCCAGGGCTTGGGCTTGCTAGGCAAGTGCGGGCTCCCTGAAATACACCTCCAGCTTCTTCACCATGCGAGTCAGTTCTCTTACCTTGACACTCAGGGGAGCTGCTGGCCGGTGGCCTGAAAAGAGCAGACAGGCTGGGGGCCGAGCACATGCGTGCGGTGGAGCCTGCAGCTCTGTGACAGCGGGGTGTGAGTGTGGGGCAGTGTGCTGCAGGGAGGGAGGATGTTGATGCAGAGGGAGGCAGGGGAACCCCAGGGTTGTGGCAAATGACAGGTGTGACCAGAGCAGACAGGGCAGGGGGCAGGAAGGGAGGCGAAGGATCTCCTCTGTATTTTGAGAATAAGTGGAAAACCCTGAGGATTTAAAGCAGAGAAGCACGGGGTCTGCCTGGCCTTGAGAAGCCCTCAGGGTTACACAGAGTGGTTCCCTCACCCTGCCCTTCTCTCTCTGAGTCCTGCACAGTGTTCTGTAATCTCAGCCGCTGGACCTCTCTGTCACAGTGCTGCTCAGCCCTGACTGCATGTAGAGTTTAAGGAAATCTTTTTTTTTTTTACATCTTTGTTTTTGGTCTTTTTCCTTTTTATTGGTACCGGGAATCGAACTCAGGACTGCCTGCTTGCAAGGCAGGCGCTTATGCCGCTGAGCTAAATCCCCAGCCCCCGAGTTTAAGGAAATCTTACAGATGCGATCCCCAGGGCTTAATCCAGAAATCCCAATCAGCCTCTCCTGCTGCAGGTTTTAGGGATGGGGGATTCCGGATGCTGCTGGAACTGGGAACGGTGGGTCTTCTCTATTGGTTAGAAGGGCGGTTCTTTAGTAACCAAAGAAGCGTGGCTGGCCCAAGGCAAGCCTGTTGGAACCACATGTGAGGAGGTGGCCCAGGCCTGTGCCAGTTGGATCCCTGTCCAGGGACAGAGCTGGACCTCGAAGCGCAGGTCCTGGTGGCCTCTCCCATTTCCTCGCTTGTTAGTGAACCAGCTTTCTGCTCTTAGCAGATACCAACTACTGGGGGAAGAGATGTGGCTCCCCTGCTGGTCTGGTGTCCCCAGGTCCCCCGGAGCTCACCACTTGCTGGCTTTTGCCCTGTGTTTCTCACTTGTTAGCTGTGCTTATCACTGATGAGATACATTAACATGGAAAAGCTAAGTAGTAAATAGTTTCCTTCCTTGAGTTTCTCATTTTGGAGACAAAGCTGATTTGACCTGATATGGTAAATAAAATTCATCCCTAAATAAATGAAAGGGTTTTAAAGGTATCACGGGAAAATTTTGCCTGGTCATGGTAAAACTGCTAAGTTAGAAGACTAGAAAAGAGATACAAATTTTTTGAAGAGCCCTGTCTTAAAGGCTTTTAATCCAACAGAAAATGGGATTGAAAGTGGGAAACACTTTTCCTCTTGGGAAAATTTTCAAAGTCAAGAAGGGTAAAACTTGTTTCACCAACATACAGCTGTAAGCTGGGGCATGAGGAGTACCCCCATTTTTTTTTTTTTTGTCTTTTTCGTTTTTATCAGTACCAGGGATCGAACTCACAACTGCCTGCTTGCAAGGCAGGCACTTATGCCACTGAGCTAAATCCCAGCCCCGAGGAGTAGCCCCATTTTACAGATGGGTAAATGGAGGAATTTACTGGGAAAAAGCTGGGAATTCAGAAGGATTCTGCTGGTGAGTCCTTGGTAGAGAAAGAAAGTCTTAATTTGAATTTTTCTCCATTCAATTGTACACTGTTCAAAAAATACAAAAAAGGCTATTGGTTTTTTTTTTTTTTTTTTTGTACCAGGCATCAAACTCATGAGCTAATGCTTGCCAGGCAGGTGCTTATGCCTCCGAGCTCCCTGGCTAAAGAGCTATTGTTTTTAAGGTGTAGGCAGATACATGTGAAGTGACAAACCCACATCCTCCACTCATTGCCACAAATTAGAAGGAACCTAAAGGTCTCACCAGCGGTAGTGACCCAGACAGTGGGACGGCATGCAATCATCAGCCTGAGCGAGGTATCTGCTTACTGAGTAATGCAGAATTCCAAGCGATACTATGTAGAAAAGACTGAGGAATGTGTACACTATGCTAAATTCCCATATAATTTCTATCTTCCCTTCATGACTGTAGCTGCTTACTTCTCTGTTACATTTCTGGGGCACACAGGAAATTAGTGCTAGAGGCTAAGGGACCAGGCATGGTGGCATATGCCTGTAATTCCAGCACTCATGAGGCTGAGGCAGGAGGATCGCTGTGAGTTCAAGGCCAGTTTGGGCTATATAGCAAAACCCTGTCTAAAAAAGTAAAGAAAGGCTAAAGGAAGAGAGCTCAGCAACCAGGAGTTGCACTATCTTATGCATACATTTTTCAAAAACCTTCTTTTTTTTTTTGTCTTTTTGAGGACAGGGTCTAGCCATGCAGTTCAGGCTGGCCTTGACTCACTTTGTAGCCCAGGCTGGTCTCAAACTTGCAACGATCCTCCTGAATCAGCCTCTGGAGTGCTGGGATTATAGGCCTGTGCCACCATGCCTGGCTGTCAAAAACCTTCTCAATAGGGTTCAGATTCAAAATTCAGAACCTAAACCCAAATAAAATGCTACCTGGTCTTTAAAAAGTTACAAACGCAGTTGCTAAACTGAGTGATTCAAACAGGCAATATGGGGCGAGTGTGTCCTATCCGAAATGCCTGGGACCAGAAGTGTTTTGGCTTTTGGATTTTTTTTTTGTTAGAATATTTACATGTACATAAAAGATATCTCAGGGGTAGAACTCAACTCTAAATGCAAAGTTCACTCACGTTTTAGGTAGACCTACAACACAGCCTGAAAAGAGTCTTACACAACAGTTTCAGTGCATTTTGATCGTGACTTGGGTGTGCGTGAGGTCAGGGATGGAATTTTCCACTGCAGCCTCTGGTGGGTGCTCTAAAAGTTTTGGAGTTTGGTGCCTTTCAGATGTCAAGTTTTCAGGCTGTGGATGCTCGCCCTGTAATAGTTGGTAATGAGCAAAACAAACTCAAAGGCTGTAAGTTCAGACTTGGGTCCTGCTGCTCCAGACAAGCCTTTTGGTCATGTCTGCTGCACCAGGCTGTGTGCTAGGCTTGGGACAGATGGTGACAGCTCTGTCCACAGCAAGCTCGCAGCTCGAGGAAAGTGATGAGGAGCCTGGCCTGTGTGGAGCAGGGAGGTGAACCTGTGATAGAACCCTTCGGGAGGCCAGGAAGGCTGTGTTGCCCTGGGGCTGTGTAAGACCCCTATAAGTGGTATGGATTTTGGAAACGGCGTTTGTTGTTTTTCTGAGACTCGCATCTGTGATGCCGGGGGTTTAGCTGGAAGCAGTTAAAGGCCTATGTTGCTCTGGAAGGGCGGCAGTAGAACTGTGGGCTTTTGTGGCCAGGCTGGGGTGGGAATGGGTAACTCCTGCTCTCTGGGCACTAAGAGCCACCATGCCCTGCAGTACTTCAGCAGGGCTGCCTGAGCCACATGCCCAGCACTGGGCTGAGTGCAGTGTTCAAGGCCCACGGTGGCTTTCCTAGGATGCCACAGAAAGTGCTGGGGAGGAGGGTGCAGGAGGGAAAAGTGGGGGACTCCAGTCAGCCCCCAGCTAGCTGTGTGGCATATCGCTAAGCCTCAGTTTCCCCAGCTGTGAAATGGGAGTAATAAGTATTGTGGGTGTTCTCTAGGCAAGTACATTTGGAAATTCTGTGCAACATACCATGTGGTACACAAATGGAAATTCTTAATTTTGATTAAGAATTTAACTTAACTTTCCTAATGATAGAAGAAAACTAGTGTCTTATTTGAAATTTGCAGCTTCAAGGTTGTCCAGCTTTTCTCATGTATTAAAAAGATGGTAGATTTGAGGGTGCAGCTCAAAGGTAGGTTGCTTGCTTAGCACTGACACTTTAAAAACAAACAAAAATTCCCTGCACTTTTGTTTAATAAAGAAAACTGACTTGTGAAACTCATAAGGAAGGGCTGGGGATGTGACTCAGTGGCACAGTGCCTGCTCAAATATGTTATCCAATCTGCTCCTCACTCAGGTGCTTGCATGTTAAATTCTTCACAGCTCAGACTCCTTAGCAGGCGCCGTGGTCCAGCGGCTTCAAATCTGAGCTCCTCCTGACACCACTATGACCGAGTGTCTGCAGCCTTGGCTTCCTCCTCACTTGCAGCGGTCAGTCTACATGCTGACCGAAAGGGGCAGAGAGAGTAATCGAGGGTCCCCCTGAGAGCCATGGCCAGAGTGGGTGGTCCAGAGTGGGTGTGTCCTTGACAGCTGTGAACATTCTTCAAAAACCATTATTTCATGGAATTCTTGCCTCACTGCTAAGAGGTGGGTGTGGAGATCTCAGAATTATCACCTCTATTTTAAAGAGGAAATGGCTCTGAGCATTCCAAAGTCACTTGGTGTTTGAAGGGACCAGGCCTTCTTGTCTGCTACCCTGACACCTTAATGTTGAACGTATGCCACTTTTTTTTTTTTGAGACAGGGTCTCACTCTGCAGTTCAGGCTGGCTTTGAGCTCACTGTGTAGCCCAGGCTGCCCTTAAATTCCTAGTGATTCTTCTACCTCAGCCTCCCAAATGCTGGGACTACAGGTGTGTCCACCACGCCTGGCTGACCATATTCCATTTAATGCTGGGTTTCATCTTCCTCCTCCTCCTCTTCCCCCCCATTCTTCTTCCTCTGCTCTGTAAAATGGAAGCCTCACTGTTCTGAGTATTTTACCTGGCAGTAGTGCCCATGTGTTCTGCAGTCTTGGGTCCTGAAGCCAGCTTGTGATTGGTCTGCACCTTCCCTGCCGAGTGCCTGGCAAGGCACGCATGGGGACCCTGGGGGCCAGCTGATCTCCTGAGGCAGCCTCTCTACCCCGGGCAGCCAGGTATTATTTCCACTCACTGACATTCATACTGTTCCTTTCTGGGGACCATGGGGTTCACCTCACTGTGCTGTGCTGCACCTCTTGCAGGAATAAACCAGGAAGCTACCTCCAGCATCGGGCTACCCTTGCCCGCCCTGCACTGGAGGGCCCCGTGCGCCCCTGGAATCCACCGTGGCTCCCTTGCCTGTCGCTGTGGAGTATTATCAGGCTGTACTGCCATCTGCTTTCCTGTTACACGACCTGACCTGGACAGCCAAAAGCACTGTTGGGGAAAAAAAATCTGTACCCTATGCATTCATCAGTTAATTAGCATTTCTTCTTGAAAAGCAGAATAGAGTTGTTTTTTTTTTTTTTTTCGTTTTTATCGGTACCGGGGATCAAACTCACGACTGCCTGCTTGCAAGGCAGGCGCTTATGCCACTGAGCTAAATCCCCAGCCCCACAGAACAGAGTTTTAAAACTATGGTTCAGTTGTTACAGGAACTCGGATGTTTTCTGGACCAAACTGAAGCCTGATAGAAACACTGGACTAAAAGGGGCTAATGATGTCACTGGTGCTGTGAAGAGGTTTTCGACGGTGAGGCGGATTCCACGCTAGATAACTGAGAGGCAAACACCTCTCCGAGTAGCCCCCAAGCCTGCTCCACATTGCTATTGTCAGTGCCTTGTTTCTCTCCCTATCAGACACAGGATCCTGGGAAGCTCAAGGGTGCAGCTGATTTGTCTCCTGACCTCAGTGCCCGGCATGGTGAGCAGTAGCTGCCCAGGGAGCTGAGCAATCCCTGGGGAGGAAGCTTCCTGTTAGGGCCCAGCACAAGGTAGGGGGCCAGGGAGCAGCAGAGCTCTGCAGGCCCAGACTCTTCCTGCCAAGTAGTGCACGGCGCCTGTGTGCATGTGTGTCTAGGAGTGTGCTGCACCATGTATGTGTGCCAGGTGCTCAGTGATTCTGCAGGTAGTGCTTTGACTGGACCAGGCTCAGTGGGGTCTGCAGTGAAGCTTTGCTGAGCGTGAGGCACTGGAGCTGGGCACCCACCTGAGACTCTGTCTGCCCTTTGCCAGCTCATGGCCTGCCTGGAGTTATTCGGCCTCTCAGAGCCCCAATCTTCTCATTTGTAACAGGATCACACTACCTACTTCTCACATTCAGTTTGTGAATGAAATGAGTCCATGCACCTAAAACTCAGGCAGAGCCTGACACCTAAAAAGTACTCAGAAATATAAGCAATTGTGACGATTTACAATTCTTTCCACTTCCTTGTGGGGCCTCCACCCCCCTCAACCCCTACCTTCCCTCTCGCTCTTGGAAGGAGCTTCCCACCTGTGCCAGGCAAAAAAGGAAGATCCACAAGTGGAAATGCTGAGAGCGGGCTCTGCACAGCTCCGGGCCGGACAGGCTGCCTGCTGTCCTCCGCTGTGCTCCCTGTGCTTGTCCTTGGAACCCTGAAGCTGACTGTCTGTGGGAGCCCCACGAGCACAGTGAGTGTTGAACCTAGGGATGCATTAGACTGAGTTACGCCCCAGCACTGTACCCTTAAAGTAAAAAAACTGAGACAGGGTCTCACTAAATTGCCCAGGTTGGCCTTGAACTTGTGACCCTCCAGTCTCAGTTTCCCAGCACTCTGGTCACGTGTGCCTCATTATCAAAGTGCCGCCTTACAGCGCTGGGCTTGGGCCAGCCCAGAGAAGGGGTAGTGGGGGACCCTCGAGGGCTCCAGAGTCATTGGCAGTACCCTTAGCACTAGACAGAGCCATTGGCAAGGCCCCACATACCACCTTACTCCTCCTCCTCCTCCCCCTCCCCGTGGCTGTCTCTCCTCCCCTTCCTCTCAGGACAGCGAAAAGGAGCTGAGGTCCTCCGGGTCTGACCTGGTTCTTTTCCTGGTTAGTGTCTTTTGTCCCCTGCTCCCTTTGGTGCAATGACCTTGGAGAGGGGCCTACACCAAAAGGCTGGGCCATGGAAGGCCAGCAGTTCGGGCAGCACTGGGCCCAGCCCTCCCATGGGCCAGGGCTGGTAGGTGGACAGCACAGGCAGAGCCACCACATCCTCGGGCCCTCAGCCAGAGAAGGAACTGGGCCTGAGGGAGCAAAGCACTCTCAGAGGGCAGAAAACAAGGCCAGATTTCCGGAATAGTCTGTGGCGGCCTCTAATCAGTTAACACAGGAGTTGGCTTCTCCAAGTGCGCCCCTGACTGCTGAGGTACAGTGGTGAACGGCAGTGCGGCAGACTCCAGCAGGTGAAGTGAATTCTGTTTGCCTGTTTTATGAGATGCTTCAAAGTCCTCTCTGTTCCCTGGTCCTCACTACCCAAACCAGGCACCCAGCGGATTTGTCCCTGATGGCTGGCTGTGATTTCTGCCCTAACTTGTTCTTTCTGGTCTGCTACCAGGAAACTGCCTGTTTCCTTTCCCCTTAAAAGTGGGGTGCGGCGACTTCTGACGCTGCGCCTGCACCAAGCTGGTGTGTGTTACCCCGGAGCCTTGGCCTGCCCCAGGTGTGGTACCTGCAGCAGTGGCATCATGTCCACATGCAGCGCCCTTCGGTCCAACCACCTCGGCTCTTCATCCATGCTGCTTTGAGGCGTTCCCACCTTCTGAGCCTTGGCCTCCAAGGACGGTGGGGATCCCTAGGAAGGAAGCAGAAAGCCCAGCTGCCATCCAAATCCCCCAGTATTTATCAAAAGCATTTTTCACGGTTACAACACTAATAGTAACACCTATTTTTACTGCTGTAGGCACAGGGGTCCATGTGTGCAGAGAATAACCCAAGCCTGGCTAATAATTGGTCCGACTGGAAAAAGAGGCCTGCAGGGACTCCATTGAATCCTAAAGCCCCGTGAGGTCGGGACCTGCCCAAAGCCACTCACCCGGCATTGGACAGCGCTGACATTGCCACCCTACACCCCTCTACCGTGAGAGCTTTGCTGTTTCTATAGATCCACAAATGGTCACCGGGTCTGCCTTGCAGCTAGTGAGGTCACTGCAAGATTCCCATGCACTGCCAAGCTGCAAGCCGAGGGCGTGATTGATACATTAAGAAGAGGGATGGGACCAGACGTAGAGGGAGAGAAGGAAAAAGTGGCCACCGCAGGAGCCTGGGTTTCCTCTGGGAATGCAGAGGGCCCCACCCCCCACCTCTGCTGGAGTGGTACCCTCTGGCCCTGCGGTTGCCACAGTGTCTGGACAGTGTGCAGCCTCATTGGAGGCCGGCTCAGCTGGCCTGTGTGCTGGGAGGCCAGGCAGGCGCTCACTTTGCAGGATGCTCGGGCTCCAGAGGGTGAGGCTGGTGGGGCGCTGGCCCCCCATTCTCAGAGAGGAAAGTGATTAGTTCTTGTCCTGGGCACCAGTTTCTGGGAGTCACACACACAAGCATGCCATGAGATCGCCTGGGTGTAGATGCCATCATTTCCATATTTTCCAGGAGTCTTATTCTCCGATGGCTGCCTCTCGGTGGCCTCTGAACCGCTGGCCCCCCTAACATTTGTGTTTCTCCTGCTCGTGGGGGTGGAGTGTTTCAGTCCCCACAAGGGATCATCATTCCAGAGAACACCCATGCCCTTTTTCCTTTGTTTGGAAATGTGGCTGGAGATACAGACTTTTCTGGACAAATACATATCCAATTTCTGGTCATCCCAGCCATATATTTGATCTGCTTTCTGGGCGAGGCACCCCTCCCCCTTTCTTGATGGAATGAGTGTTTGTTTCTAGCTCAAACCAGACAAAGTGTTTCAAGCCTTCTGAGCTCTACAGATTTCCTCGGATCACTGGCTGGAGTAACAGAAATCAGATAACACTGACTTGAGGGAAATCTCTGCATTCTCCCCAAGGAAGGCTTTGTGTTAGGTCACAGCACCAAAGGCATGGCCAAGGGAGCTTCACTCCTGCCTTCACTCCTCTGTAGGACTCGGGGGAAGGGTCGGACTTGAGGGGTGTGGAGGGAGCTTCCTCCCAGCCACATAACCTATAAATCTCCCCACAGCCGCCCTGTGCCTTAGCGTCAGGAGCCGTTGATCCCGGCCTGGCCAGTGTCACCAGCGAAGGCTGCGGTCACGGGTGCCTACAGTACTGATTTTGCTTATTACATGCAGGTCTTCCAGTGAATACATGGCAGCAAAATGGAGTTTGCGATATGAGAGAAAAGCCTAAACATATAAACAAGATTCTGGGAGACCAAGATAGGAGGAGGAAAAACGTTGGAAAGCTGAAGCTGAGGAAGTCAATCAGGGGCCTGGGTGGGTTGCATTTATTCTGTTAGCCCATTAGTTATCATCCACACATGAATGAGCTGTGACCTGGCCAGACGGAGTGAGATGGAGACTCAGGTCTGCCACTCCGCCTCTGAGAGTAAAGGCTGCTGGTCGCCGGCAGGGGGACTCCTGGGAGGAGCCCAGAGATGTCTCCGCTGCCCCCAGGCCTGCCAGGTCGGATCCACTGTTAGCAGGTGGGCAGGTTCCTGGCTTCTGGTGCTGTAGCCTCCTAGCTCCGTCTCTGACCCCGGAGCCCTGCTGTGTGCTCTTAGTCTGTGGCTCTTGGGGATGTGGAGAGGAAGCAGCCGCAGAAGAGGAACAGGGTCCAGGTCTCCACTGTGTGGAAAGGAGAGGGAGGTGCAAGGCTAAGTAGAAAGAAGTAGGGGCCTGGAAGGGCGCAGCGACCCCCTAAGCGGTCGCACACACACTCGGGTGGGAATGATTTAAAAATCTATGGAGAGATGAAATGCTTAGTGGAAAATCAAAACCTATCCACCTCCTGCATTGCACTGTGAGCAGACGAATGCACATTCCCACCTCTGCCGGAAACACCCGGGTCCCCGTCTCCATGAAGGAGCAACGAAGAGCAGCACGTTGCCTTGGGGGAGCTGATTCCAGTTGCACAGAAGGCCTCTCTCAAGGACCTGGCGTTGGGGAAGTGATTGGACATTTGAGAGGAGGTGGCTGTTAATGAATTCAAGAGCTAATCTTACACTTTACAGAGTGAGCCACGGAAAACCCGGGATTATTATCTCACTGTAAACATAATGCGATTCAATTGAGCTCTCAAAATCAGAGAGCAGAGGTCTCACTGTAAACATAATGCGATTCAATTGAGCTCTCAAAACCAGGGAGCAGAGGTCTGTGGGTGCACGTGCACCAGAGCCCAAGGCGGCCGTTATGGCAGATAAATATCTTACCACTTTCTTCTTTCCCTTGATGATAATGTGTGGACTGCAGACCTAGGCAGAAACTGCCCAGGAATGTTTCCTCCTTCCCATGTGCCCAGTGTGAAGGGCTCTCACTGAGACTGGCTGTAAAGCCTCGGAGAAAGAGGGAAGCTCTCTGAACCCGGGTGGCCACACGTCCACCCACGGGTGTCACGGCATTCCACAAGGCTCCTTTGCTGAGGGACTTGTGGGGACTTTTGCCAAGTCCCTGAGCTTCCTGAGCCTTAGTTTCTCTACTCAGGAATGGGCTTCACCTCACCATTCTCCTCAAGGAGATGTTGAATAATTCACTGACGTTTTAATCCCAGAGCTCCTGTTATCGTGGTAAGTTGTCTTACCACAAATTCTAATTGATATCCTCAATTTAATTAAGTGCTTTGTTGATATAGCAGAACCGTTGTTCATCTGGGAAGAGTGATCTGCCCTGCTCCTGGGTGATGGGTAGGAAATGGGAGCAACTCTACTGCATCTAACCCGAACTTTAGCCCAGGCTGTGTGACTCCCTTGCGTAGTGGGTCTGCTGTGACTTTTCCAGCCTAGCAGACATGGCTCTCAGCTCACACTGTGACTCCACTGTGAAAAGTTACTTCAGATCAGTCACTGTCCACTAAGGAAAAACCACAGTCCTCAGGACGCTGTGCTTCTCATATGGGCACATCAAGCTGGTGACAGGCCAGGGAACAGAAGCAGCCCTGGCACTGTGATGGAGCCAGCAGTAGGAGAGCATGGCAGATGCCTTCCCAGCCTCCCCTCTGCAGCCCATTCTGCACCCAGCTGCCTTTCTGCTGGGGTGGGGCAGCCGGCAGGGAGAGGGCTGGCTCCCGGGTCCTGCTTCTCTCCTGCCCTGGTTTTGGCCTTATTGCCTTAGTGAGGTGGGAAATGAGTGTTACAAAATTTACAGCTGGATGAGGGACCCAGGGGGAGGTCTACTGGGGTTTTAAGCAGTGAAGCATGGAGGATGCCTGAGAACACGGGGAGTATCCCGGGTCAGGAGCCGGCAACAGTCTCCTTTCCCTGCCTGAGTCCTGTGACTTGGAAGGCAAGAACAGAGGAATAAAACAATGGTTCTTGTTCAGACTGAGCCTAGTGCCGGGCTGAGCCCTCTTCTGGTGAATCTGGGTTCCAGCCCTCGAGTGCCCTGTCTTGCACACCGAGGCAGGGGCCTGAGCCTCTGGTTGTCTGTGACCTGCCCAGAGCACTCAGGAAGAGCCTGAGGTCTAAACTCGGTGTTGTGGGCCCGTGAGCCGCAGGTCTCCCTGTACGCACAGGGCACACGTGAATGGCCCTGTCTCCCCTGAAGTCTCTACTCTGTGCCCGAGACTCGGCTTTGAGGACTGACTGATATGAGCCTCGGCTGCCCAGAATGAACTTCGGGGCCCTGGGCAGTGACTGCCACTCCAGAGATCCCAGGACATTGGGGGACAGAGTCCTGGCACCAGGATAGGCACATGGGTTAATTCTGCTGTTCTCTTTACTTTCACATAGCTTTGAAATTGTTTATAGTATAAAGAAAAAAGAGTTAACGAGACAAGTACGTGTTACAAGTAGTCAACAGATCAATAAATATAGAATCCTTAGAGTAGATGATTGTTGTAAAAATCTGACAAAAGCCTTGGTTTTGTGGTTAAAAACCGATCAGTGTACAGGGAGCTTCAGGCAGGTGAAGTAATCCTGCTTGCAAGGCTGGGCCAGAGGATGAGGGTCAGCTAAATCCTCAAAAAGCCCTTGAATCAATTTTATACCTTAAAGTTACTAATAAAACTGTGGTGGGGGGAAGAGCATGGATGTGAGGGATGTGTATCCCGGAGGAGGGACCTGGCGTTAGATGGGTGCAGGAAGGTCGCAGAGGTGCCAGGTGGCCTATCCTGTGCCCGGCTCTGTAGAGCCAGGTGCTGATGGCAGTGGACAGTCGGGGACAATGGCTGGACTTCATGTCAGCACTGAAGATGAAAGGAGCAACGCTCAGTTCTCTTTTGCAGATGACAAAATTTTTCTGTGAATTTCTGTGGATTTTGAGCTTTCTAGGCCATGAAATCTTTTATGCCAATGAGATTCTTATTTGTCATTTTGAAATTTAATTTTTCTCATTTGTTTTTTGAGACTGAGTCTAGTCATAGTAATGTTGCCTAGGCTGCCCTCAAACTCACAGCAGTCTTTTCTGCCTCAGCCCCCGCAGTGCGGGGATTAAAGGTGTGTACTATCACACTGGGACTGTTTGTCATTTAGAAATAAAAAATGAGGCTTCCTTGTGCTGGGAGCTGTGCTAGATTCAAGGGATATAAAATGACTCAGGAAGGCTAAAGAAAGAAAAGACCATCTTTAAAGTCTAGTGGCTTGTTCTTTTAGATGACATTTGCCAGAAAGAGAACTGAAGGCAGGTAACAGTACCGTCCAGGAGGAGACTGAAGCAGGCCGTGGTGGTGCACACTTGTAATCCCAGCACTCAGGAGGCTGAGGCAAGAGGATCACTGTAAGTTTGCGACCAGCCTGGGCCATATAAGGAGACTGTCTCAAAAACAAGAAAAGAAAGGACATTGAAAGAAAAAATGACTTTTATGTCTTTGCACCAAACTGTGTCCACAGGTTGGGGTGTTTATTGTCCTGTGGGGGAAGAGGCCCACAGTAGAGATAAACACCATCTGTGGAACTCCAGGGTAATGGATGCGTGGAGAGTCCCAAGCCCAGATCCGGGTGCCCTGGGATCCCAGGCTGCTCTCTAAAATCCAAAAAGGATATGTTTAGGACAAAAGGCCCACCGTGAGTTTATACTGTGGGAAACTCAGGGAGACTGAACTTGAGAGAGTACGGGCAGAAACCACAGCAGCTCTGGGAAGTGGGAAAGAGAAACTATTCCAGGGTAACAGGCCTTGAGGGTGCCCAAAGTTCTGAGTCCCCACAAGCAACCGAACACCCAAGACAAAGGCAGAATCCATTGTTCACCCCTGCAGCTGGCACTTGAGGGACTCAGGAGGAGGAGAGGGTGAGGCGCTGCTTTCGTATTTGAAGCAGAGACACTGATTCTTGGGGAAATCTGCTGAAGGGCCAGGCTTGCTCCTGTCGCTATCTGAGGACAACCTCCGCCCTGACTGCACCATTAATGAGAGGCTCAGTGGTGCTCTTGTCCCTGACTCCCACAGATGCCCCTACACGGACAGAGTTTCGTACTTGAGACCCTAACTTAAAAATCAATGTACGAGTCCCCATTTGCAGCCGACTGCAATGACTGTTAGTGTGGCTCATCCAGCCCGCCTGTGACACATCTCAGCCCTTGTGTCCTCCCCGCCCCTCTCTCTCTGTTTCAACATGCGTCCCCTCCCATTTGCAAAAGCTCTCTTCCACTTTTTTCTTTAAAAAAAAAAAAAAAAAACAAAAAAAACTTTGCCCTTCCTTCTCTACCCCTTGTGCCCTTCCCACTGAGGCCCTAACTTTTCAGAACAAGAGGCAAATCTCTTGTCTCTCAGGGTCGGAGTCAGAGGGGAAAGGTAAGATGCTAGCGGTCACATTCAGTAACAGCCTAAAGAAAACCCAATCAGTGTGAAATATCCTAAATTAAAAGCAGTAGCTTAAAAATGATGGTGCTCTTGGAAACCTGAGACCAGCCTGGGTTACAAAAAGAGCTCAAGGCCAGCCTGAACTGCATAGTGAAACCCTGTCTCAGACAAAAAAGAAAAAAAGAGAAAAGAAAAGAAGGGTGGTGCTATGACGCTGATTCCTGCATCCAGCTCAAAACACAGCAATGTTACGAAGCCCTGTGCAGGGCCACGAATATTAAACCGGTTTCTGAGTGTGCATTCCTTGGTGTTTGACACGGACTCCTTTGGTGTTTGACGCCCATTAGCCGGCCAGGTCACGATCCCTCGGGCCCCCCTCCCAGGCTCGCCCCACTCCTTCCGCTAGATAGCGTCGCCACGGACACCTTCACCACCTTCTTCCCTCCTGCCGAGTTCTTCCCTTCAGCCACCGCTCCAGACCGGAACCGCTGATTCATGGGAGCGAACCAGGGTGCGCATTGCTCTGCAGGGCGCCTGGACGGGTCCCAGTCGCACCGCCGGGGACTCGGACCGCAGTGGGGCGCAGTCTCCCCTTCAGGACCCGGCACAGGCGGAGCCCCGTCCACGGCCGTGGAGTCTCAGGGTCGCCTGGGCCACACCGGCTCCGCGCCCCGCCGCCCGCTCTGCAGTTTTCTCCCCGGCTCGTGCCCACGCTGCTCGTCCCCTGCTGCCACTGATCCCGACGGCTCGATCCAGTTCGGTGGCTTCTGGGGATGACGAGACTGAAAACGCTCCCTTCGGGACCTTGGCTGGCGGTCAGAGAGGAGAGCATCCGTGTCCCGCGGATCCGGCATCCCGTGGGTCCCGCATCCGCAGAGGCAGGAGAGAGGGCGCCCCCTGCCGGCGCTTTGCGGCGGGCGCGATATGCGCGTGGCCTTTGTCCCAAGCGCGCTCCCCACGCTGCAGCGCACGCGCGCACGAGGTGAGAGTCCTGCGTGGAGCCAGCGGTGGAAGCCTCCTAGGGGAGCCAGCGGCAATACCCCAGGGGGCCGCTCCCCGGCTCCCTGTCCCTCCCACGGAGCCTGCTGTTCCCGCGGGGCGCAGGGGACAACTTGCCCTGGGACCCTGGATCAGACTGCAGACCCCTGGCCCGCGCAGTGCTCACTAACCGCCAAGCTTGTATTCACTCTAGTACAGCCCCACCCTGACCAGGCCTTGAGTCGGGGAAAGAACAAACTATACGTATTATAGCGTCCTTGGCCACAGATTCTTACATCTCCTTTTATAACGGATGTCTGCAAAGCAGGCATTTAGAAACTAGGCAAGATGGAACATGCTTGCAATCCCAGGACTCCTGAGGCTGAGGTAGGAGGGTTGCTGGTGGGCTACATAGTGTTGTTCATGGCCAACCTGAACTACATGGGAAGTTAAAAACAAAAAACAAAACAAAACAAGAAAAGAATAGAAACAAAAAAAGAAAGTAGGCCCTCAAAGCCATGTCAACGTGGATGCTAAAATTTCTCAGCAGCGGAGGGGGCAGCCAGCTGTGTGACCCCGGGGACACCTGAATCCACTTTTATTGCTGTCTTTACTGAGTAGTGGCGCAGGCGTGTGGCCCGGGAAGCCAGGGCTGGGCCAGGAGGTGGAGAGGAGGCCAAGCAGGGGTGGTCACACGTGGGGAGATCCTGGGGTCCCCGCAGCTGGAGCTGCGCGCTGCCTCCGTCCTGCCCTGGGAATGAGCCAACCCCAGCCCCAGCATCCACGGAAGGACAGACTTGCCAACAGTCCTCACATCCATGCTTGGTCACTAACAGACAGCCTCGCTGTGCAGAGGAAGCCTTTTCCTCCTCTGCGGCCGTCCTTGCAGACTTTGCCCAGGGTTGACGTGTTTCCTTTAGGAACCAGACCCATGCCTTCCTCCGCCCCTCCGCTTGGCGGAGGTCGGGCAAAGGCTCCCGTCTCACTCAACGGAGAGCTGGCGCTGCCGCAGCCTTGGAGACCTTCTGAGTCTGCTGTGTACCAGTTGGCCACTGATCAGACCACTGAGGCTCAGAGAGGCCCACAATCCCACCCAGGGCCACACAGCAAGCTGAGAAAGAGCGCAAGATCCGACACCCAGGGTCAGCCCTGTACCTGCTTCTCTGCGGTGCGCGTCAAAGGCGAGCTCCCGCGAAGATGCCTGGGAAGACCGGTCCCGGACGCAGCATTAGCTGTGGTAGGAATCAGAAAGAAAAAGCATTGCGGGTGTCAGAACCGAGTCTCACTAGGGTTTGTGTGCACCTGTAAGCGGCACAGCTGGCTCCGACGTGTATTACCAACACCCTCCCCTCCGGCGCTCTCCCCGCACCGCAGGTGAGGCCCTGTGCACCGTGGGCGCAGATTCCACACCACGTTAAATGTGGTTGGAAGACCTCAGATTCACATTTAGATTTTTCTTGTTTCTGTTGCTCTTTAAAAGAACAAAAGGAACTTCTTTGTGCTATTAAAATTAGATAAAACTGAAATTAAAAAGGAAATATTGATGGGAAAAATCTGCTGATGCTGTTGAATATAAATTTTGTATGATCACACGCTGCGGAAGTAGAAGAACGCTTTCGAGCTTCCAGGTGGAGATCAGAGACTTCCTTCTGTCTCCTAACGGGATGGGCGGCACCTGCCGGGGTGGGGTGAGGCTCTGACAGCCTGGAGCCTGCGCAGCAGGTGCCCTTGGCAGCTGGCATCACCAGGGCGCTCCAGGTGCAAGGCCTGCGGGGCTGGAGAAGCCGTCTTCACCCCTTGTTGGAGAACTGTGGAGACCTGGAGGAAGGGTTTGCCTAGGCCCAAAAACTCCCCAGGCTGAGGATTGCTTTCCTTTCCCCTCCTCCCCAGGAAGTAACCATAGTACTCATAATGGAATATTCAAAGAACACATTTGGCTAAGCACATGGCTCCACTGACAAGGATTTTAGTCTCTGCTATGGGACCAATGATGACCGATGAGAGCTTCTCCTTATACCTGGCGATCTTTTAAACACCAGCCAATGCCACCTTCTGAGCTGAAGCCCACAGGCACCCTTTACAGGCCAGCTCTCCCTTTCCAGTAGCTTCTCAGCTGTCCTCTCCAGGCTTTGGCAGAAACTTAGGATGTTTCTGTTTAAAATTAGCTTGGGTGAAACTGAGGCCCAGTTGGTGGCTTTCTGTGGCTGTGCCCTGGGATGGGGCAAGACTGGCAGCCAGGAGCAGGGTTCTGTGCTTGTCCTCTGTGCCTCCCGCTGGCCTCCGCCTTGTTGGCTCCCTGCGCAGCTGCTAGGGCTTGGCCTGGCAGAGCTAGGGCCATGCAGCTCACGTCACTGCGGCTCGGAAGGAGCTCAGGGAAGCTCATAGATGAAGCTTGTAAATCCTGACGCAGGAGGAGAATTCCCGGCAATAGCAGGGGAATGAATCACCAGGTAAGGGTCAAGAAATGTAAACGTGTTTTCAGACAGAAGACTGAAAAGTAGCTTAGGGTTTCTCGTCTTCTGGGTCATGATCGTGCTAATTTACTGAGATGCAAGTGGGCCCGCCACCGGCAAATGGCTATGGGTGGCAGCGCCCCCTGGGGATAATGAGGCAAGAGCCGGGCTTGTGGTTGAGTTGGAGAACCTGCCCTGCTGGCCACCTGGCTGGATATGGACACAGCGCCGGCGGCTGGCATGACTGTTGCAGCACGCACTGTGTCAGGTCCAGGCGCTAGAAGCTGGGACCTTGTCATTCTGGGTGCACACTCTGCCACTGAAGAGACGACAGAAATGCATTCCTGCTCGGCTACCCACCTCCTGGCCCAGCAGATTTTCCAACACCAGTGTTAATCTCTCTGCAGGCTTTTAGTGAGGAGATAGCACTGCCACCAGATAACCAGGCCACCTTGGAGCTGACCCTGCCAGACAGGGTCTCCTTCCAAACCTCCCTGCCTTGTTCACCTCCTGGGATCCTTCACCAAACACTCGGAACTTGAAAAGCAGGGGCAAGCGTTTGATTCTGGCGCGGGTGATGGCACTGTCAGCTCTCCTTCTGCTGCAATCTGTGTCAACAATGTTTACTTTGCACATTGTTATTTTAAAGGAAGATGAAATCTAGTCAGATTTACTCCCACTGTTACAGAGTGGCTGTTTCCCCAGGTTCAGCAGGCTCTGGTCAGTTCCATCTGATATCAGCCACCTGGCTCTTTCATGGGTGCATGTCCAGCCCAGGCCATAGCATTGGCCTGTGGGCTGTCACAGGCCAGTGTCCCCTGGCCCCAGGGCCATGGCTGCTCATCTGCCGGCAGGGGTCTTGCTCCGTACATTGAGGGTCTCTTCCCAGTCGCTGTTCTCAGGGACCCTTTGTACTTTGGACCCCTTGCCCTATGCCTGTCGTGTCCAGGTGGTGATGTGTACACTGCAGGCAGCGTGGCCTCTGCTGTCTGTGGCTGCTGGCCCCAGCCTGAACAGGAGCCTTGGCACTTTCATGGGTTTGTGGTTTTGGTCATAAATGGAAAATGTAAATGCAAATTCCAGATTATTAAAATAAATTTCCCCCAATATAAACATAACTATAAAAAGAAGGATAATTGTGGTCTCATTGACCTTTCAATAAGAAAATCTAAAAATACTTTATTTTATATGATGTGACTTGGCATGTCTGATCTGTAGAGTATTTGTAATGTGACAATAAATTTTAATCTGCTTGTTTAATGCAGGAAACCAAGACCTAAGATGGCCTGTTGGTATTGTCCTTATCAAATTCTTGGGACAAGATTTAAAACTCTATTTATGTTACACATTTTCCCTTTGCATCTTCCTGGATTAGGAGGAGGGTGAGAAAGGCGTAGCAAACAGCTGTTGGAGACCTGAAAAGATCTCAGGGTCAAACATGTGCCCGGGGGTCCCACTAAGCAGCCAGGCACGCGGATTGAGAGAATCTGAGTTGGTCTAAATTTAAATCTGGAAGGGCCTCCCAAAAGTGAGGGCAGTATTTTCCTTCCACTTTGAAAGCAGCTCTTTTATTTACTTACATCTTCTTTGACCAAGACCGGCTAGGTCTCCAGGGTCTGGCTTTAGTTTTGGTAATGCCAAGTTCTCTCAAAAGCTCATAAATTGTTTTTATGGAGAAGTCGAAGGTGCGTGGAAGTCTACCAAGCCCCAAATGGAGCCAAGCTGGACGACAGGATTGAAATCTGAATTGTGTAGCCACGAGGTATCAGCTGCGTTAGAGGCCTTCCCGTTGCACACAGCACAGGACTCGCTAGGAGACTTGGGCAGAAGAACATGGGAGGGGATCCATGTGCAGAGCGAGCTGCCGATCAATGCAGGCTGTGGCATCAGCTTTCTAGAGAATGCTGGTCTTGGTCACGTGCTCGTGAACACCACACACCCGGCCTCTTTCCGGTCCTCGTGCCTCTGCTCATATGGAGGCTGATCCATTCTCCACGGAAGGGGGCAGCCGTTCCTTTAGAGTGAAACCTGGCTGTGTCAGCTCCTGCACGCACAGAACCCTCGGCCCTTTGCCTTCCCACTCTAGTTCCTGCCTGCTTCCTGTGCACCCCTCACGCTCCTGCCACGTGTGACCTGGGTCCTCCTTGCAGGTTGGTCCTGTGGCTCCTGCTGCCTGGTCCTCCAAGTTTTCCCCAGGTTATCTTGTCTTCGCCTGGCAGTTCCTGTGGTCACCCTTAGAAACTCCACTCAAGTGCCGTCTGTCCCAAAGCATTTCCAACCCCAGGCCAAGTTAGGAGTTGCTCATCCATAGACCTCAACCGATTCCACATGCTGGGCTGCAAGGCACCAGCTGTCTCTACGCTGTTCTTGTGCCTATGACATACTTGTTGCTCAGGAGGCTGAGGCAGGATAATCAGTGTGAGTCTGAGGGCAGCCTGGGCTTCCTAGCAAAGTCAGTGTGGACTGTATGGCGTGACCTAATCCCAAAGAAAATTTTCTTGTTGATAGTGGATGGTGAAGTATTTGAATGAATGAGCAAATAGGCATCTCTTCGTACTTGGTAAACACAGTGGTTCCTTGTGTTGAACATGTTCTGATGCTCACGGCTGTGTTAACCTTCAAGTGAGGAATTTCAGGGAATAGACAGCAGCCAGATGCGTAGGCTGCAGAGAATGTGTGGGAGAAGCGAGCGTGACAGAGGCCAGTGGGGAAGAAAAGCACATCAGGAGAGCCTCGTGCTTCTTTACGGCTGTTTTGGGTGAGAAGACAACAAAATACTTGAAGGGTGCTGAAACAGAAAGAGTATTTCTAGATTATAGGTTAACCAAAGTTGTAATTTTTTGACCACTCTTATAGAAGAAAAGTTAATATTTTAAATTTTTATTATAGTTCACAAACATAGCTCTCTCTCCCCATCTCTCTTATATACAATTTTAAAATCCACCCCAGCCTTAAAAGGCCCTGAGCCAAATACGCGGCAAGGCCCTGGCCTTTGTGAATACCACACATGGGGTGCGTGACAGACCATGAGGTTTTAGGAGCTGAGATTTGTGGATCCCCTGGTGTATATCGTGTTCCCAGTGAAACCAATGTTGTGTTGAGAAGTGGCACGTTCTTAGACTGTTAGTAGTGAGGATAAAGAAAGGCTTACGGTGATTTATAAAACTATTCTTTTAGAAGCTGGGCCTGATGGTGCGTGCCTATAATTCTAGCACTTGGGAGGCCTAGGCAGGAAGGTCAGGAATTAGAGTGTAACCTGGGCTATGCAGTGAGTTCGTGGCTAGCCTGGACTACACAGCAAGACCCTGTCTCAAAAAAAATATTCAGAAAACAAAAGACCGTTTCTGTAGTAGAGCTGCATCAAGTTGTTAGACAACATGGCTTTCTCTTACTGTCATCAGCAGCCCCTGCAACTGCCTTCTCTGTGTATGTGCACATAGCGGATCTGCATGTGTATACATGTGTATGTATCTGTGCATGTACATGAGTTTGCATGTACATGTCTGTGCATGTGTGTGGGTATGTACATGGATACATGTGCACATGTGCACACGTCACAGCTCTTCTTTATCAAACATAGCCACACAGAGCTATTTCTGCAGGTGTCACCATGAACACAGTGTAGCACTGCAGCATGGGTGCCGGGGGCTGGGTCGGCCGGCCTGTGTGCACAGTGTATGTGCTGCTGACGTGAGCCCTGGCCCTCTCGGTTAGTGATGGTTGTCTGTCTCCCCGCTTGTAATTTTGTGATATTGGCCTCATGCACAAATTGTTTTGTGTCTCTCTGTTTCTTTACAAGTTATTTTTCAAGTCGCTGAAACTCACTTTCAAGCTTAACAAAATACCCACAAAGTCCATCATCTATTTAATGTTTTTGGAAACCTACCAATTTTCTCTAAAAATATTCATTGACACAAAATGACCTAAAAGAAAGCAAGAAGGGGTGGCTCTCAAGGTGTTTCTGAGCAGTAGATGTCTGTGTTTTGTTTTGTTTTGCTTGCTTTTTTGAGACAGGGTCTTACTCTGCAGTTCAGGCTGGCCTTGGACTAGAGGTGCTCCTACAACCTCAGCCTCCTGAGTGCATGCATCACCATGAGTGCATGCATCACCCAGCTAGAGACAGATGTGTGAAGTTGCTCTTGTGTGGAGGTACAAAGTTACTAACCCAAGTGAGCATTCTAAAAACATCAGTCCTTTGGACGGGAGATCAAATTAAAAGTTTATATTTGGTAAGAGGTTTAAAGTGTCATTATAATGTGGTTACAAGTGTCATTTTGTATCATCCCATTACCATACAACAAAGCCTGCATCCTTGAGGAATGATGAAAAAACATATATAAGGAGCAGTCCATCAAAATGTTACTATGGATACAGATGCTCTACAGAGACAAGCGCTATATCACAACGGGCAGCAACTCCTACCCAAGTTAAGGACTGGGATAAGTTTGCTGATGCTCTGGAATAATTCAATCCATTTGCATATCTCAAGGCTCACTCTTGGTTTCATATTGGAACTAGTGTGCTCCTTCTCTTCTTTATAATTCTTTTCATTAAAGTCTGTCATAGAGGATTCACAACCCAGAGATGACTAGAGGCCACCACGGCTGACCCTGCTCCAGTTTCTTTAAAACAAAGAAGGGGCGTGTGACACTCCATGAACAAGGAGTAGTTGTCTCTACCTTGGCTACACCTGCCCCTGGCTCCAGGTACTGATATGTGCAGAGCTGGCTAAGCCATTTCCTCTTCCCCTCAATTGGCTTTCAGCAATGTAAATAGGGCTGACTGAGGTGCTGATGTGTAATCTTCGAAGCTAGATGATGACAGTCTGTTTCCTGCCCCGTGGCTCCCCCAACTGTCAGGGCTGTCAGCTGGGTTCAGCCTTGAGAAGAGAGGCTGTGACTTTCCAGGGCAGAAGAAGTTTGCACATCAGAGCTGCAGCACCACCCTGAAAACATTAAATGCTACCTCAATTGTGTTATACAGACAGGTCTCTCAGTATATCCTTCTCTGTATATTGCAGAGGTGATTTCAGGCCTCCTACCGAACCCAGCTCACAGTACTCATGTGTTTCCTGCCATTCTCACAGTCACTCATCCTCAAGCCTCTTTCTTCTTCATGAGTTAATAAAGTCCAGGTTGGGCTCTAGATCGAGGTCCTTGTTCTGGTGATCCCATCTTGGCCGGACATAGGACCCCCTGGGTTCCCCATAACTATAAACATGTCTTAGTGTCTCTATTCTCACCATGGGTTGTACTAGAAGTGGTAGATTGGGATTAATTTATTGGAGTTCCAATAACATCTCCATGGGATTATAGATACAAACCCCCTGGACCATAATGAGGACCAGGACAGGTCCTCTGCACTCTTCGAGCTCAGTTCCAGAGAGTGTTAGCATTTTCACCTCACTGTTGTTTTCATTTCCTTAAAAACAAGTGGGGACTGTCACACCCAGAAACCTCAGGATTGTTCTGTTAAGGTCATCAAGTGATTCCAGGGCACAAACAAGCTTTGTAGACCTTGGATCCTGAGAGGGGCGTCTGTGCCAGTGCAGGATGATGCCTGTGATGTGCCTTCCCGCAGAGACAATGCTGTACATGGTGAGCAGGCTCTCAGGCCAGCCTGGAAAAGACCTCTTCACCCCAATGGCAGCTGAGTTCTTTCAGACTGCAAACACCTAGGAAATGTGGGCAGCACTGTGCCAGCCTCTGGGATGCCAGCCCCTAAAAAGCCTGCCCCTAAAAAGCTCAAAGTCTAAACTGGGCATGGTGGTGCGCACCCGTAATCTCACCATTTAGCAGGCTGAGGCAGGATTATCACAAATTCGAGGTTGGCCTGGATAACATAGTAAGATCGTGTCTTGAAATACAAAACAACAACAAGCAGGGCTGGGAATGTGGCTCAGTGCAGACTATGAGTTCAGCTCTTCCTACTGCAGCAAGTAAACAAACAAATGATTGCATGTTTGAAAATAAAGAGATGCATCCAGTCTAGAGTCTTTTAGCTATGAGGAACAGAGAGGGAAGATAACAACATTTCCTTTTCCTTCCCGGTTAGAGTTTGCCCTGGCAGCCGCCATTTCTGTTTCTGCACTCTCCTTCTCAGACCACTTCGCATATGCTAACCTTCTGTTCCTGGAAGCCCTCTGGGCTCCCCTCCATCAGGCGTGTTTCAGCCGTAAAACTACTCACCTGTGTTTCCACCTGTATCAGAACTTGCAGTCTTTCAGAGAGCAGCTGGTCTAACTGGCTACATTGCAAGAGGAAAGCTAACTTGTTAAACTTTTACTGAAGTATACAGACTATATAAGACTTTCTCACAAGTATCAGTATTCTAACAGGATCTCACCCAATCCAAAGCAAATCTTTGGAGGTGAGATTTTAACAGTGGAATGAAATGAGACTGCACCACTTGAGGGTATACTTAGAAGAGTATTTGTGGTTTGCAGAGCTACCCTGTAAAGCAGGCCTTTCTCACAAACTCTTTTTGAGTTTTCTTCTTCTCCCCACACTGTTGCCAAAAGTACAAACCATTTTCAGTCCTGCCCACAGGAGAGCATCTGATGCGGAATGGAGGGGAGGTGATGGGCAGCAGTGCTGCTTCCTGGGAGGGCCGTGTATTGGCCCCTGAAATGTGTCTGTCTATATGGACACCACTGGTAACCACACACAGGAAAACACAGGTCCAGGCTTTGTGTAGCACCGGGCGAGTCAGTTACCCTTTCTGAGCCACGGTGTCCTGTGTGAGAAGTGGATAATGGCACCATTGCTGCGAGGATGCAGTACAGCAGTGAATGTAAAACATCCAGCACAGTCTCGGGCATACCAGAGATATTTAAGAGTGGTTATCACCACCATCACCGTACACCATCATCTCTACCACTCTCACCATCCCCGTGATCACTACTGCCGCAATCACCATCACCACCACCACCATCGTAACTACTACCACTGCCACCACCACTGCCACTGCCATCTTCAGTAGTGGGCTGCTCTGTGATTTGACAAAACACACACACACGCACACACACACCTACACCTGCCCTGCCAAGTTCGAACTCATGTATGAAAACGGGCACATTGACACTGAAACTCTTCCCACTGAGACCAGGATGACTGCTTAAGGAAGCTGGCAAGAAACTAGGGCAGAGGGCCGGACTGGCAGGTCTTTTTTTGCTAGCAGATTTTGAGACTGCCAAGGGTATGACTGTGTCCTTCCTCCTACTTTTGCAATCTCTGGCAAAAGCAATTCCCTCCACCCAGCACTGGCTCTGGCCCTCTCTCTGTTGCTTCCTGTTACTAGGGCAGGTCCCGCACACAGGATTCACAGCTGCCTCTCCCAGATGAATAGCCAGGGGGACCACACACATTTCCCTGGTAATGAGAGACTGTTTTCAGGAGCGGGAGAGCCGCTCCCCATCCCTTCCTCCCAGGCTGGAGCAGGAGCAGCCATGTGTGCGGCACAGACGAGCTGCAGCTTCGTGTCTCGCTGTGGGGAAGCTCGGAAGAGGCAGAACTGACCTCTGTCCTTCACCTGAAACAAGCACTGGGGTCTTTTCCACAGACGTGCTAGCTGCTGGTGGCGAGGCTGGTGCTGTGCGAAGCGCTGCTCCCTTCTCCCGGGAACTGTGCAGCCCACAGGGCAACTCTGCACAGCACCCTTCTTGGCTGGGAAATGGTGAGTATTTGGTTCAAGCTGCCTTTGCCTGTCCCTGCTCAGATCCGAGCTGCCTAAGGGTGACTCAGGGAACCCATAATTCTAGGCTTGCCCAAGGACCCCACTTGGTACCTCCCTCATGGCTTGACGTGCATTCCAGGAGGAGCAGCTGGAATCGGTCCCGAGACAAATGAGAGAGAAGCCACAGTACTTAGAGGACAGCTTACCTTCTTGGAGGTGCTGAACACACGCCCCTTCCTCTTCAGGAATGACATTAGATTGGACAGATTCATAGACTGAAAAACAACAAAGGATTTCACCTGAGTATGAAAAATTAACAACAAAAATATCAACTTCCTTATCTTCAAACTGGAGAAAACACAGTGTGTATCTTCAGTGCTTAAGACTGAGGTGGGAGCAAGGGGAGAGCAAGGGGTACAGCTGCCCGCCCCCCACAGTGAGGGTTATACATTACCACACACATGTAGTGACAACACCGAAGAGTAAAGATTCACAATGAACTGGATGGTTTTGAGACTCTAGAGATTTCATTATGGAGAGACTACTTTAAAAAACCATTAAGGAGAGCACTGTTTTCATCTAAGATGTCTAAGGTGAAACCTGCAGGGCCCCTGATCCTGAAAATCTTTGAGGTGAACACACCTGGGGAGAGCAGTGTGCCATGCAGGGACTGCGTGTCATGGCTCCCGGGCTGACAGAAAAGCAAAGAGCCCGGGTCCGGCAGGGCCAGCAGATAGGGGCGACCTCAGGCCACCGACTCCGTCCTGCAGGTGCAGAGCCACAGACAGACTTAGCACCCTGCACTGCGATCAGCCGGCCACTGGAGTGAGAGGGTCCCCTCACTGCCTTTTTGCCCTCAACGACAACCTGGAAATGGGTTAGAATGGATGCCGATGCTGAGGAGAGGAGGAGGACAGCGTGAGAGGACAGTTCAGGGAGAGGGAGCAGAAGAGGCTGAAGGAGAGGGTCCGGTGTGGAGAAGAGTTTTCAATGGGAAATTGAGAGAGACAGAGTCACAAGAATGCTCGAAAATTCAAAGTGGAAAAGATTTAGATCTTGTAGGCTCATTACCTAGCCAAACACTTTCATTTCTTTATTTTTGCCTTGTTGTTTCATTATCGATAATAAATATACTAGAGGATGTGCTGTAAATATACTAGAGAATGTGTTTGGATTTTATTGATTTGCTGAGCTAATAGGGCTGGGAAAGCCTACTTAGCTGCACATGCACAGACACACACAAACACACACACACACACACACACACACACACACACACACACACACACACATACACACTACTGAGGGCTGCTCAGGCAGACTGGGACTCTGAGAGCCAGCAGTGGAGCAAACAGAGCCATAATTAGTGTTAATTGTTGACCCCACAGTTCAGGAATAGATGCTCTGGAGAATGGAAAATGAGAACGAACGTTAATTATTGAGTAGGGACCTTGGAGACAGACACTCTGGATTAAAAGGAGAGAGATAAATTGCATAATGAATGTTAATTTTCCCTCCAAGAATTGAGTGGTCGGTGGGTGAGAGGAAAAAGAGGCCAGAGCAGCCCTGGAAAAGAAACTCCCAGGAGCGCAGGGTGAAGGTGCGGGGTCCCTGGGCACCCTCAGCCCCCTCCCCAGCCTGAGTGGGAAGTGTGGCTGGGAGCCTGCTCTCCTGTGCTGACAGTGGGAGGGTGGGGTGGGGGGGGGATGGGCCTGCTGTTGGAGCTCCAGGGCTCCAGGGTGCTGTCCTTTTATTTTAATTAACACATGGGAGACAATGCCTGCACCCCCAGGCATCCCTTAACTGAAAGTGAAAACAGGGAAGAGTTGTTACTAGTGTTAAGAGAAATCCACACACAGTGTGAATGAGGTCCCCGCATCCAGACAGGTGCCATGTCCGCCCCTGCCTGCGCCTTGCAAGTGACAGTCCTGCACAGGATGATGGGGTAAAGGAATGAGACCCCATGGAAATTAATTCAGCCCTGAACACGGCGGGCAGCTGCATGTCACAGCCAAGGAGCCAGGTGTGCACCGCGCCTTCTCCTGTAGGGTCAGTGACGCTTCATTCTGAATCTCTCCTCACACTCTCTCAGCTGCAGTGCAGGGATGAACGGGTCGGATGTTCACAGATCTCCAGGGTGCAGATTGGCAGTGATTACATCCAGGTTTATTGAAAAATACGGTGAATGTGCTGTCATGTATCATCCAACAGAAGGGTCGGGATCTTGGGTGTAGAATGTAGCACCTGACCCTTCGTGACACTATGTGACAAGTCTCAGCTTCTTCAGTTGGGTTTTATTAATGTTTTTGATTTTTTTTTGACACAGAATTCACTGTGCAGTTCAGGCTGGCCTTGAAATCACTGCAAGCTTTCTGCCTCAGCCTCCAGAGTGCTGGGATTATAGGAGACAAGGTAGGTTTTAAATTGTGCCAGAAAGCGTGGATTATGAACAGGACAATTCATTGGAGTTGCATGACTGTGCTGCATAAAATTACATTAGATAGCCAGGCATGGTGGCGCACGCCTGTCATCCCAGCACTCAGTAGGCTGAGGCAGGAGAATTACTTAGAGTTTGAGGCCAGCCCGGGCTATAAAGTGAGACCCTGCCTGAAAAAAATTTATGTTAAATAAAACCACAACACTGTGTTCTCCTCCACCTTATTCACTGGATCTGGGACCATGTACCTTCTCTTCCCCAAAGTCAAAATGACTGTGAAAGAGAAACGTTTTTAATTGACTTAGGACAGTGAAGCAGCTGTGATGGAGAGATTATGACGTTTATGAAGAGGATGAAGAGCGCTGCTTCAGAAAATGGCAAGAAAAATGGGCTGTGCATGTCAGAGTGAGGGGCAGGGCCTCAGGGGGGTTAACAGCAGTGTCTCCTGGTGTAAGACATCTTATAAAATTAACACTCACCATAATTTTGATCACCCTCACAGAAGTTAAGGTGTAAAGTCAACCGCTGTAACAAGGTGATACCGAAAAGTAAACATCTGCCTCTTCATATAAGAGCCTGGAGGGAGCTGGCTGGTCAGGCGCAAAGTTACCCAGGCACCCTGGCTCCCGTCTTCCTGTGCTATCATCACATAGAGTGTGGTTTCTTCTACATGCCGACATGCTTTCACCATCACAACCAAGTCCAACATGAAAGAATAAGGGGACAGTAGTGCTCCTTTCAAGGAACTGACATGGAAGTTGCACACATTACTGTTTGTTTGGTCTTTTTGAGACAGGGTTTCACTATGCAGTTCAGGCTGGCCTTAAGTTCACTTTGTAGCCCAGGCTGGCCTTGACCTGAAAGTGATCCTCCTGCTTCAGCCTCCTTATTGCTGAGGTTACAGAGCACACAGTACTTTTAATTGCATCTCACTGGTTAAAGCTTAGTCATGTAGTCACACCTAGCTGCAAGGGATGCTGGGAAATACAATCCAGGCATGGGTTCAGCTAAAATTCAAGGATGGAAATTTTATTAATAAAAAGAATAATGGAAGAGTGGATATTGGGAACATTAAAGTCTCAATTATTTATAACCTCAATGTTTACAGGCAGCACTCTCTGTGAGTACCAACAGTACCCTCTAAGATACTCAGTAGGTGACAAAAGTCTACTTACAGAAATTTAAATTTAAATTTAAAAGAAAAATTTTTAAAAAGTTAAAGTGATAAAAAGGGGAGGGAAGGGAAATGCCTGGAACTTGAGGCTCAGGCAGCCCTCATGGTGGAACCTAATTGGTTGGCAATGAGTGTGCGTGTGTGGCAGTTGGGCCGGGTGTCAGCATGAAAGGGAGACAGACAGGAGTGGCTAGAGGCAGTGCGCCCTGGGAGGAGGATCTTAGACCTACAGGAAGATTAGGTGTGGAACCTTGGATTTCCCCTATAAAAACTTCATGACTTTGAGCAAATCATATTTCTCTGGGTCTCAGTTCTCTTATCCATAAAATGAGTTTCCAAAGTGGGGCCTCCTGCCTCTGGTGGCCCTGTGTGGACCTCTACAGTCCCACGAGGAAACAGTTTAGGAGGGAAGTGTTAGCCGGGCTGTGGAGACATCAAGAGGGACATGGTCAGTCCTTCCTGCTTCCCCAGGTGGTTCTACCTTAATCTATTGGTGTCCTCGTGAATCTGAGGAAATGCCTGCTCACTGAGCGACACCCATCACTGGAGATTCCCTCCTGACTCTAGGTTCTTCAACGCAGAACAGAGGCACAGGAGGTAGAATTTTAGCATCATTGGCTCTGTAAAAAAGTATCATAACGTGCCAGCAGTGAAGAGAAGTTAACTATGATTCAACACTTCTGATTGAAGCTTTTCTTCAGAAATGAAATTTCTAGTGGATTCAGCCAACTGCTATCTTTGACACTTTTCTTCCTCCTAAAGTAGTGATGATGCCACCTGTCCAGCCAAGTAAAGCTTGGGGGTCTTGGGGCTTATGGGAATCACAAGAGGTTTTCACCAGAGACAGGAGAGTCTTCACTGTCTGTCGGGAGCTCTCTGCTGGTGGCCATTGGGGTGCTATCCAATGTGGCCTGCGGCAGCCCTGCTGGATTTTCTCCGTTGAGGGGAAGAACCTCACTTCTTTCTGGAGTCTGGGACAAGCACAGCTGTCTCAGCCACTGTTTTGCAACCACTGGACCCGTGACACACAGACGGACCTGCCTGCGCCCATACCGGACAGATGGGAATTGCGCATGGTCTCGTTAAGTAGAATTCACAGGGGAGGACCAGAGCCACCCGGCCTTTTAGAAAAAAGGCAATTGCCTTTCCACGTGCCTGGGCCTCACAGGCTCAGCGCCAATGCAGGCAGCCTCACTCTTGGGGCTCTGAATCTCGTGCGAGTGCACTTAGCTGGCAGAGTGCCATTTTCACCCTGCCTCCATCTGGAAAGGCTGTGTGGGGAGTGTAGTCTTCGGCCTTCAGGCATCTTTGGTACAGGAAAGCCCGCTAGCAGGAAACGCTGGATGCCCGACCATCACATCTAGTTGCTTTTCTGTGTTCATGCCTGTGATTGGAGACTAGGAGAACTAGTAACAGCTGCCAGTGTCGTTTCTTACGGGTTATGAGCAGATACTGATTGGGCAAAAGGAACGAGGCAAATCATTACCACGTGGGCCTCCTCTGCCTTCCTTTGCATCTCCCACAGATGGACGCGTTGTGGACCTGTTATTCAGAGCTGATGTCTGGAGAATGGAAATAAATTAGTGGATGGCTGAGATCCTGCTTCAGGATGTAGACGGCAGAACTACCCCCTCTGAGACGGCCTCCTTGGGAAGGGGCATGTTTAGAAATACACGCTATTAGAGCTGGAAGGAACCTCAGAAATCATCAGGTTAGCATTTTCCAAAGTATGTTCCAAAACCAATTTAGATGCACACGGCACTTTGCTAAAAACAAAAGTACCGGGTTGTCAGGGGTGTGGGAAGCGGTGTGTAGCCGCCCCTCAGAGCGCCATGATCCGTCAGCTCTGCAAGGCTCTATGCAGAGAACCGGCTTTAGTCTGATGTTCCAGGTGCATGTGATGGCAGCGCCTTTCTCTTCCCGCATACTGCCTGCCAACCTTCTGTGGGTCAGGAATTTGGGGGACATGTGCTGGGAGGTTGGATACAAGACTGATGTCCCCTTTCCCCATGCGAAGTAGCTGGGCTCCCTGGGAGTGAAGTATTTGCCCCTAGTCACAGAAGCCACAGGCGCCTTCCCTCATGGCCTCACCTAAAGGAAGTGTCCTTCTTTTAGCCCTTTGCCACCTCTTTACGACCACAGCTGCTAAGAGGTAAGCTCCCAAGGGAGGTCATACTTTGTCAAATATCCCTCCAGTGCGAAAGGAAGCATGTTCCCAAGGGGCTTCACAATCTATGTGATTCCCCTGCGACAAACAGGAGAATGGAGGAAAAGTCAGCCACTTAGCACAGCTGGCCCCACACAGCCCAGTGCCTGGAGAGCAGTGGGATATCCTTAGGCCACTCGTTTTTCTATTACCAAGTTGAGGGAGACCACTGCGGAATGGCTCTCAGCAGGATTTAAAACTAACCACTTGGCTCTCTCTGTTTCCCTGTGAGTCTGTCCCAGGCCTGGCCCTCATCCTGAGAAGGCAGAGGATTCATAGAGTGAACCTTTGTGAGTCACTGATCCCGGCTGAGGCCTGTTGTGGCCTATGATGCTGTGA